AGGGATTGTGAAGATCAAGTAACATCGACATATCTGACAGTTTTTCTTGTACAAATAAGTCATTTCCATTTTCTAAAACAATTGTTATGGTTTAATCTTGCATTTAATTATATCAATTGCCTGTGTTTCTAATACTTTTGGGTCACTTTTGTTACTTTGGATACTTTATTTTCATAATCGCTCATTTTCACCATTTTTGACTCAAGAAAACCTATCTTTGAAGTTAAACCAAATTGTGTCTATAAAAACTATTTTAACAACACAATTTGTTTAGAAACTCTTATCAGACATGTGACATAATATCAAAATTATCAATCATAACAGCTTAATGTTGCATCAATCTGGAAATGCTGATAAGATGTTTGTAAGACTAACAGAAAGGTTTAATTTATTAAGGGCTTGATTAGATTCCTAATCTATTTCCCCGTCCTGACTGATAATCGTTTTGTAAATTAGGCCAATTATTATTTTGTTCCATTTTCTAACTTAAAGCTATTTTTGTTGAATGATACTTGATTAACCAATTTTGAATGGTAAAATCTTTTCTTTGAGTGGTAAAAATACAATTTTGCATTCCCTGAAAGAATTTCAAGCATAATAGCTAAGATACTTCTTAGCACTAACTTTAAGGTATTGAATTCCAAAAATAGAATCCTGAGTTAGGTACAATACTACCGAAATATTTACTGGTGACTTCCAAAGTTTCATTAAATTACCGTTGAGATTTTATTACATTATTATTTTGTGTCGTCGTGGCCTAAAGGATAAGACGTCGGGTGCATTTGTGTTGAGCGATGCACCGGTATTCGAATCCCAGGCGGGTACCAATTTTTGTAATGAAATACATACTCAACAAATGTTCACTAGTGACATCAACGGTGAAGTATTAACATCGTGTAATAAAAATCAAACCCACAAAATTATAATTTGCGTAATTACTGGTGGTAGGACCTCTTGTGAGTCCGCTAGGGTAGGTACTACCACCCTGCCTATTTCTGCTGTAAAACAGTAATGTGTTTCGTTTTGAAGGGCAGGGCAGTCGTTGTAACTATACTTGAGACCTTAGAGTTTATATCTCAAGGTGGGTGGCACATTTATGTTGTAGATGTCCATGGGCTCTAGTGACCATTTTGCACCAGGTGGGCTGTGAGATCGTCCATCCATCTAAGCAATAAATAATAAAAAACCATTACTCATAACATTTAACAAAATTTTATAATCACATTGCCGGTGCTGGGCATATAACTGATTTATAAGTTAGCTTTTGATGTTGCCTCAACTTTATATTCTAGCTTGTTAGGACTTTAAATATTCTGCTTATCTTGGATTCAACAGGCATCATTTTTATCATAGTATCCTATCATACATTCTATTTTACTTTGAAATGTGTTTCTTGTCTTTTAAGTACATTACATTTTATATATTTACATAAACACAACAGATCACAATAGATTTACTCACTTCATCAAGGTTAACAGGAGCTGCTACCAAATAAAGTTTTTCTATTGCAATAACCCATGGTGCTGAGCGTATCTGACGGACTGGAATCTGAAGCTGTACCTTCCCAATGAAGCCAGCCTTGACTTCCACAGGTAGACCCAAGTGACGCAGAGCATCTTTCTTCAGAGGAAGATTTTCCAACTCTACTTTGCCTGAAAACACAATTTTAATTGCTTATAAATTTCATTTAACTATTTTGTTTATCATTATCTGAGTCTTAATTATTCCTTAAATGTACTTTTGTGGTATAATCTGAATTAAAAAGAAACAGCACATTTTCCGAGAATAATTTAGTATTATGGTTGCAACAATGTACTCAGTATAGTAATAGCACTGCCTCAATAGTGAGAGATTTCAGAGTTATTGGTGCTATTAGGAAAGTGTGTTGCATTCACTGTACAGAAAAGCCTCAACGGTCTTCGGTATGTCAATAGCAATTTTTTTTTAATATAATTAATGAACCTCTCAATTTTTTTTATTTTCCTAAGTACATAAATGAAATTTCCCACATATATTTTTTTACGTTTCACTATTATTTATATTTACATTTGCAATTTGATTACTACTTAAATGTTCGTATTTTATTCCAAAAAATTAAGAACCAAGAATAAGCATAATGCACAAGGTAATTCATGCACTTAGTGTGATACTTGTTTACATAAATAAATCTGTGACATCAATTGGAAACTTACCAGAAAGTAGAGCGATACTCAATTGGTCTGTATTCAAGTTCTCCACGTATTTCCCAAGATAATTGTTCAAGACCCAAGCAACTAGACCTTCCAACATCGTGCATGTTGGTTTCTACTTTGTTTACTATTATCGCACACCTGTCCGCGATTCAGAATTATCTAAAAACATGTAATCTCATCAAAACTATGACATCAACATTACGATCAGATGACCTTTAGCACCCATATATATAATTATTATAAGAAATTCGTACTTTATGCTGTGTTTAGGGTAAATATTGTGCAGTTGTCTTGCTCATTAAGAGTGTACAATTCGAATATTCGTTTATTTCTCTAATATAATCTCAAATGTTGCGGTTGATTAACATCAATCGTTCAAGAACTTCAAGAATTTCTGTGTCAGAGTGTGACATAAATGACATAACACATCGTAACAATAATTGATGGAATGTCTTGACACTTGACATGCCACAAAACTTGGCTCTAAGAGTTACAGATCGTTCACCGTAAGTTGTCCCCTGCCGTGATGTTGGCACTATTACTTGTCATTTTTGTCAATCTGTTGTTGTCAGATTGTCTGTTGTGACGTGTGCATTTAGTTTTTGTGTTAATATTTAATATCTTTGAAATTAATCATGCCAAAGCCATTTAAAAGCAGTGCAAGAGAGATTGTGTTGAAGGTTCGTGCCTTTTGTGAGAGAGAAAAGGCAAACCAAGCCCCGTTAATTAGACTCGATCAAGTGCGAGCACGAGTCGCCGCAATGACAGGTTAGTAAAAAGGGGATACAAGCTTCAGACACAATGCCTTTAGTATGGGTAATAAGAATTTACTGACATAAAGAATTAAAATAAAAAAGTACACATCTCAGTGAATTTAATTTATTTCGATAATATGGTCACTACTTGAGTTTATATAAAGATTAAATTTTATAAAAGGATACAAATTTTATGTGTCTATTTCAGGCATGTCGGAGAAAACCGTGAGTAGAATAACTAAATAAGGTGAAGTTGCTGCCTCTACGTATCAAAAACTCAAGTCTCCTGGAAAACACCGTCAAAAACGTAAAACGGTGGATCTTGATGATTTCGATTTATGCGCATTAAGAAATAAAATCCATGAAATGTATACTGTCAGAAAAGTTGTTCCTACTTTGAATAAATTACTTATTGAATTAAGGAATGATATAAACTTTGGTGGAGGTCGAACTACTATGTGGAAAATTTTAAAACGAATCGGATTTCAATACAAAAAGTGTGGTTCGAAGCGGAAAATTTTAATGGAAAGACACGACATAGTTGCATGGAGACGCAAGTATATCGATACTATGAGGCAAAATCGTGTAGAAGGTCGGCCAATAGTTTTCTTAGATGAAACATACATTCACGCATCATATGCTGTGCAAAAATATTGGCAAAAAGGTGACGAGGACGGAGTACTAACAAGTGATTCTCCTGGAACGCGATGGATTATTGTTAATGCAGGTGGAGAAATGGGGTTCATTTCTAATGCTCAATTGATTTTTAAATCATAGAGTAAATCAGGGGACTACCATGACGATATGAATAGAACAAATTTTATGAAATGGCTTTCAGAGAAACTTATACCCAATTTGCCTCCAAACTCGTTAATCGTCATGGATAATGCTCCCTATCATACAGTACAAGTAAATAAAGCACCTACTATGAGTTCCTCAAAAGTCCAAATGCAAGAATGGATTACAAATAAGGAATTATCTTATTTACCGACAATGTTGAAAGCACAGCTTTATCAAATTATAAAAGAGCACAAAGAAGCGCCCATTTATGAGGCTGACCAATTATTGATAAGTCATGGCCATAAAGTGGTTAGGTTGCCCCCCTATACTTGTGACTTAAATATTATTGAGTTTATGTGGAGTCTTTCAAAGAGACGAGTAGCTAGCAATAATGTCGGCCTAGAAGCTGGTAATATCGTGAAGTTAACTGAAGAAGATTTTTCATCGACAACTCCTCAGGATTGGCAAAAACAGTGTGAACACGTAATACATTTAGAAGACAATTTTTATGAACGTGATGGCTGCATGGATAATATTACGGATAAATTCATAATTGAACTAGGAAACGAGAGCAGCACAGATTCGGATACGTAAGACGACGCTTATGCAAGTGACAGTGATATGTCTGGAAGCGTTTCTTTCGACCATAATTACTGTCAGTAAAAATGCAATAAATAAATAATTTCAAATTTAAATTGTGTTATAATTTACAACTTTCCTAGTCTTTTAGCTATATATTATCTAGACATAATAAAAATAAGCTAGGTCGATATTTGTACTTTGAAGATATTGAAGAAAAACTAATATAGGGGGTCTTTATTAAGCCAAAACAATAATTTTACATTACACACAAGATAATGGGGGGTAAAAGGTACATATATTGTTTGCAACACCGTTGGCAATGCTACCAACTTTCAAGGCAGGGGACATCTTATGGTGAACGGTCTGTATGTATCTGTTAACTATCTACAAAACAAAAACAAAAACTTGGGGATTCCTCCAAATCATCCATTGAATTCAGAAAAATCCACATTTTAATTGAGAGATAGTTAATTTCATTCCGTAGTTAGTTTTTTTAAATTAATTCATATAATTCCATTTCTTTTTCGTTTCAAAATCAACTTCATTATCTTTCCTTTATACTTTTCAAACAACAGACGAAATTTTTATAAAAGCTTTATGAGCTTCGTTCCATTTGCTCTTCCAGTAGACGAATGAAATAAATGAAAAAGGACTCGAAAGAAACCTGTCACTGTCATCCTGTGCTAATTTCCAAAGTTGAGTTTTATACCTACCATATCTACCTATTTGTTGTTTTGTAATGGTCAAGTGCACGATTAAGTAAAATGAAAAACATGTGGGGGTTTTGGAAAATTTGTAGACCATTTACTATATGTTCCAGTTATAGTTGTTATATTCCCAAACAACAAGTAAGGCAAAGTGCTTATTCCGTACGTACAAATAGGAAGTTACTTGTTCCTACTGGAATACATATTCGTAACTTGGGGCTTGGTCCTACTTCTAAGGATTTTGAAGAGCCTGCACAGCTGTCCGGGCCATTGACAAAAGCCTACGCAAGAGAACTGGTATTACATTTGATTGATGAAGAAAGGAAGATGTTGTTAAGTGCACTTCAAGAATATGAATCAAACCGAGTCAAAGAAGAATTCGAAGGTATTGCGTCGTGAACCTGTCATTGAGACGACATAATCTAGTTATTTTATGAATGGGATCTAAATCTTTCTAGAAACACTAGCCGCCCAGAGATGGAGGTCAAAACTAGGTCGACCAAGTAAAGTTCCCACACTAGGTGATGTCGATCCCACGGGTTCTTACTGCCCGGTACCTGAAGACTGGCTAAAGAAGAAATATGGTAAGAAACTCTTCAATTGTGTGAAAATTTAGTACATAACCAGATGGATTGGCAACATTGTTGAAATTTAGGACTCATCATCATGATATGATGATGTTGACCAAGTACCTATTATGCATGTAGGAAGAAATTCTCACTTTTGCCATTTCTGCTTTAAGAAACAGATCAGTCCCTTCATGTTGTAGGTGGCTTATGGTATCAAGGTATGTTGCCTGATATTCTAGAACTTAATCACATTCTAACAGGATTGATTTAACTGTCTAAACTGCCACCATGCTGTCTCTGTGAAAAAGAATGTGTATGAAACCTACAATTTAGAGTAAAGAATATTTGTTTAAATAACCCATTAGACTGATCAATCAGTACACTAAATACCATTTTTTACTTTAATTATATCGGAGAGTGTTTGACTCTTGATATGTCTTCCCTTGAATTATTGTAATCACTTAGTTCTTTCCAAATTGTCTTGTATCACCTTTATAACCTGTGTAGATGCTGAATCCATTTAACTGCAATATTGTTATCTGCACATGCTTTCATAAGTTCTTACTTACGATGATTGTGTTGAGGAATAAACTGATGCTGTTGGCTCTTATAGATTGCTGAATAAATTTGTTGTCTGTAAACCATTTCACTTCATAGTATTATGCCTGTACAAATAACACTATCTCTCATAACACAGCAAAAACAGATATTGGAATAACTCAAACATTCGAGAATATTTAAGTAGCTTCAAATGTATCGAGAGTGTTCTAATGGCTCTGAGAATGTTCTATTGAGAATATTTTGGAATACTGTAGACATCGTCGTAACAACTAAAAAACATAGACAACAAAGAAGGTTCTATTTATTTACCCTGAGGACCAGCTCGGAGTTCCGATTTATTGTGAATAGTTATTGTGAATCAATGACAGATATGTGTGATAAATAATGCCTGTCTTACTGAAGAATCATGTAGAAAAATTGTTACCAGAGGTTAGCAGCTGCAAGAGTTAGACCAAAGGTGGTTTATGGGAACCTACAAATCANAAAACATAGACAACAAAGAAGGTTCTATTTATTTACCCTGAGGACCAGCTCGGAGTTCCGATTTATTGTGAATAGTTATTGTGAATCAATGACAGATATGTGTGATAAATAATGCCTGTCTTACTGAAGAATCATGTAGAAAAATTGTTACCAGAGGTTAGCAGCTGCAAGAGTTAGACCAAAGGTGGTTTATGGGAACGTTCAAATCACAGACCGGTGAACTGCAAGAACTCATCAGCGACAATGGAAACAATCGTGGCTACATTCTGTGTTTCTCCAACCATGATGGCTCCTAACCTTGCCACCTTAATGGTGTATTTACAAGAACTGGCATGCCACCAAGAGCAGCAGGAGCAGTACGATAAGCAGGAACTGGTTCGCAAACTCCAAGAGCAAACCAAGAGAAGCAAACCAGGTGTCAGGACGAGCATACTCACCGCTAAGACGATCAGGCTAATTGGTTGAAGAAACAGCTGTACCGGGATAGAGAGAGTAATGAAGGAGCAGGCTCAACAGCACGAAGACCGTATTTCTCAGTATGAGTACTCATAATGAAAGCAGAGGTTTAGATAACCGATATGGGGAAGAACCTGGAGGATATAAAAACAGGAATAGTGACTTCGGCTTTAGTTACTGCTGTTTCTTCGATCAGGCTTCCTAGGGGTGCCGCCGCGAGCTTTGTTGTAATGTTGTCTGCGGGAGCCCTACTCTGCTCGGTTTCTGACCCCGGCAAAGCAAGAGGAGTCGTTTGGTGGATAGGATCCTAAAAATATTCCTTGTTATTGGTCAGTTCCCAACATCTGCAGACTTTACGCAATACAATTTACGGACAATTCTCTGGCGTCCCTATTTTCATGGGTGACGACGGATCTTGTGAGCATCACCCTAGCTCCTTTAGCTCGTTAGCCAGCTGCATGAAAGAGCTAGCTTCGAGGCCTGATTGATATCTGGCAATGCAGCACGACCATGTGAGCAGTGGTCTCGTTTACCTCCATGCAGGCACTACAATAGCTATTCTGACAGATGTTTAGTGTATGCGTATAGCCCATAGCCAATGATTGCACCAACTACAGTTCTCAGTTGTCTATTAAAATGGAATAGCTAACGGGTTGACCTCGGTTTTACTTCGCGTGCTCTTTCGTTTGTCAGGAGTTTATTGGTTGAGACCGATAAACCTTCTGTGATAGAATGTAATGCTTGACGACATTCGTGGATGAAACTTTAGAGATGCATTTTGCTCTTCAGTATCCGCAGGACCGCTTTTTCTATCAGAATGTACTCTAATTTTGCAACCACTTAACTGCGCAAACGTGACTGTTTGTAGGATTCTCCCTATTGAATTGGTAGTTCATTGTAAAATAGTCAGACTTACAATTTATTAGTGGTAGGATTGTTTCATGAACTCGTAGGTGTAGGCAACGTCACCCTGTTAACTTCTGCCGTGACACAGTACGTTACCAAACGCGGACACGGCTCGTTTAGTTTACTTTAGTTACTTCCACAGTGTCATGTCCTATGGCATTTTGCTATGAGGCAATGCGGCCGATGTAGAAATGATATTTATTCTGCAGAAAAGAGCTATACGTGCTATTTATAACATGCACTCAAGGGAATCCCTGAGGCAGAAATTTAAAGAAATTAAAGTTCTCACTATGCCATCCCAGTACATTTCTGAAAATTTGATGTATGTTCGTAAACATATTGAGGAGTTTCCTAAAAAGTCGGACATTCATAATAGAAATACTAGGAACAAACACAAGCTTGTTGTGCCGATGAGTGGGTTACATAAGTAAGATACGAAATTCATTCGGGTGTTTGTCTGTGCGCCTGTACAACAAAATCCCACAAGATGTTCAGACCCTACATATACATAGGTTTAAGAAAACTATTAAAGAACATCTGTGCAATAAAGCTTACTATAAAGTCAATGATTATCTAGAAGATTGCACAAAGTGGGAATGAGTTGCTCGCTCCGGGCATTTCAATATTGTAGTAATTGTTACGTTATAATACTCATTGTAAAAAAATCATATTTAAAAAAATAATAATCTAATATTAAAAAATAAATATATAATAATTTCATATTAAAAAAAAAAAAGACATGCCCACTGAGTTTCTTGCCAATTCTTCTCAGGACGGAGGCTAGTTCTTGTGAATTGGCGGTAGTTCTTTTGACGTTCAACAAGTATGTACTTTAATTTATGTTGAATAAATTTTTTTTGATTTGATTTCATTTGATTTGATTGAGTAAGGCGTAACAGTTAGAAGGGTTGGACAGCCGTTAAACTATAAAAATTGCGATATAGACCTTATGTCCCAGAGTGAATGGCAGCATGCATAGTGATGTATGCTCCGGTGACCACTTAGCACCAGGTGGGTCGTATTATCGTCAACTCATCAATACAATAAAAAAGACCTACCAGTTACCACCAGTAACTAACTAGAATAATAGGGTTCAAATGGGTCTGCAAACATTACTTTCAGCTAAAATTGGTAGACAAACAACTGTCTTAAAATCCTACTCCTTCGTAAAAAGTCGAACGAAAACACGTCATGTTATAAAATTATCATCTTGTTTCTTTCAGCTGCCACAGTACCAAAGCCGACGACCAAGGAACTGTTCCACTGTAAGTAAACTTTATTAACTAGATCAATATACAAAGCGAGACGTTTTGGGTTTTTAACGCCATATGGTTCCATATACATAAGTACTTTACATAAGGTGTGTTCACCAGTGCACCCATCTATGACATAACCCAAACACATGTCCATCAGCCAGCCAGAGGAAACAAAAAACTCATTATCACTGAAATCAAGCGAATAATGTTGCCTGTCTGACTGTTTGAACTATTATCTAATGGTCTTACCAAGCTTTTTCTTATCGTGACTTTTTATCATAAATGTTTATCTCTTGAATTTATCATTTCCGTTTGCTAAATTATTTTTAGTTTCATGTAAATGGGAGTGCACATTTTTATGTATAGTAGACGCGCAGTCGTTACGATCCACATGGTGTTAAGTGGTTATCGAAGCCTGTAGATACCGTGAAGTGAATACCGTCCTCCTGTTTGAGTCCTGAGGTCGGAGTCTTAATTAAATTGGTAATACGTTTGTCCCGCACTTCGCACAGAAATCAGCTTGCTAATTCACTTTCTTTATTGTTTATACGTGGTTATTTTATACAAAGGAGCTCACGGCCCTCCTGGTTTTAAGTGGTTACCGAAGCCCATAGACAACTACAACGTAAATGCCGCCACCCATCTTGAGATATGAGTTCTAAGGTCTCAGTTGTAACAGTACGACGGCTGCCTCACCCTTCAAACCGAAACGCATTACTGCTTCACGGCAGAAATAGGCAAGGTGGTGGGACTCACATGACATCCTACCGCCAATAATTACGCAAAATATAAATTTGCAGGTTTGACTTTTATTACACGATGTGTTATTCCTTCACTGTGAAAATTTGTTACGGATTTGATTAGAAAAATTGGTACCCGCCTGCGGGATTCGAACACCGGTGCATCGCTCGATACGAATGCAACGGACGTCTTATCCGTTAGGCCACGACGACTAACTGTTATTCAGACTTGTTCGTTTACTTAAATAGTTCAGTTCTTAGTGTCCACACAGGGTCCAGATGTACCTTGGACCTACTTATTGCTAACCTTTACAGAGTTTCACTTAGGATTTTTGTTTATTAAGAAAAAAACACACTGCAATAAGCATTAAAATGTATTGAATATTAAATAATATAATTTTGAAATAATTATTATTGTCGGTGTGTTTCAGTGAGCTTAGCAAACTCTATACCGTTCATTGGGTTTGGTTTTTTGGACAACTTCATCATGATAATTGCTGTGAGTAACAATTAATCAAATATGGTTCATTTCATTCGTTCATTCATTCATATGGTTCAAAACATGGTATATTTGGCAGCTAACATTAAAACAATTATCGATGCAATAGACTTGACAAGCAAGTAGAGTTTCTTTTAAGCACACAAAACAATACCTTCTCATGGTTAGCGTAGTAAGAGTAGGTTACACAGTGTGTATATGTTAGTTGTATAGAAAATCGATTATCCCGTTCTGCAACCAGTGATGACTTTGCTGCAGTAATTGGAGGAAAAGTAGTCACAGAGGCATCAGCGGCTCCTGGAGGCCAGAGCCGCACCCAGTTCTTCGTATTCAGCTCACTTAGACTGTCGGATTTTCTGTAAAACAAATAACCGCGTGACCCACTCACTGGGTCTCTATGGAGCGAAGTGACGTTGAGCTTATTCCCAACACAGGGAGACAGCATCGAGAGCAGCATGAGCGCGTACATAACGCTTTCGACGATGGCGGCGGCGGCGCTGGGCAACACGTTCAGCGACGTCATCGGCATCGGCTCGTCCTACTACGTGGAGCGCGGCGCCGCCATGATCGGGCTGGGCGCGCCCGCGCTGTCGCCCGTCCAGCTCGACATGCCCATCAGCAGGCGCTTCGCCAACGTGGTAACTATGGACAGTAGTAGTAGTAGTACAAGCGTCCCGCATATAAAATATATAACACGATCCCAAACATCGAATCTGCATTGGAAATTTGAATTTTGCTTTGAATTACATTTTCAATATGGGAACTGAAGAATCTCTCATTTCATTTTGAGAAGGGACAGTAAATTGATAATTCCTCGCTCGGTTTGTTTTTAACATTTTGGAAAGTTTGTAAGTGCATAATAATTTCAATTTGCGGTATGCGATAAAAAAATTACTTGTGGCATTTACGCTAAATATAATTTTGGACTTTAAATTTAGTTAGGTAATATCTGAAAATATCAATAAGCAAAAATTTGAACGAAAACACTCGTAGAAAAACTGAAATTTTAGGTCGTACATATTGCGGAGTAAAGCCAGCATCGATTGCAAAATCATAATTAAACGAAATTACTATGTACATATTATAAAGTTTTACACCTTACCACTTTTTGACGTGGTTCCGTATACCTCGGTTTCTATATAGAACGGTAGGAATTAATCGTGTTACGAGGGACGCCTGTAGTAATATTTAACGGTCAAATTTAAATATTTAAAAAAAGCTTCCTCTCTATAAAGAATAAACAAAAACTTTAAAAAAATCAATAGAAACAACTAAAATGTAAACACATTCCCGATACAGGGCAGAGTTCTCGGCATAACTCTCGGCTGTTTCCTCGGCATGACGCCGCTGCTCTTCAAGGACGACGAGAAGAAGCCAGAGGCCAAGGCGACCTCGACCGAACCTAAAACTTAGGCGAAGCAAGAAAACAATAGACCAATTGTAACTTCGACAAACTCCTAGCTGGCTCCTCTTCAGTTAACCAGTACGGGTCGCGTGCGAGACCCCTCGGTGACGACGCCACAGTGCAGCCCACACACCGCACCCTTGTTGTTACTAACAATTTAGTTCTACAAGATGACGATCGAAATGAAAAATTAATTTTCACTGCATTGAGTAGTATCTTTACTTATATTTGATTTCAGATTATCAAATAATAATTAAAATAGTAATAATATTAATAAAACGTTTTGTAAATAAAAATCTCAGGCAGACTGTAAGGACTCCTTTCGGGTAATGTCTCCCTCCTCCAGGAAAACCACTTCCTCTGGCTGCAGCCGTCACTAACTCCGCCCGCCGCAACTATATCGCCGCGGTCCGCGTGTGGTCAGTGGGCCGCGCCGCGTGACTTGTCCGTTTTCTTCGTAGCGAGATAGTTAGGCGTCGCTTATACTTGATTTCAAAAGTCCACGGTCCTGGCCATCCTTCTCTGAGTAGTGTGTAATTTCTTGTCACTTGTATAACCGAACTGCCAAGTCTGGTAATGAGACGCTAGTTTCTGAATCCATAACAATGTGTTTGTCTCTAGTGGAAGTTGTGATTTGAGCCCATTATTTCTTCTACATGAGCGCTACTCTTCTGTCTCGTTCTAATTCTTCTTTTTTTCTAAGAGTTGTGTTTGCCTAGAGTGACGTATCCTTTGACGAACTCGAGGGCAGGTCTCGTTATTTGTAAAAATGGGCGGCGTGACTGACGTGTTCCCGAGGTCCATGTGACATGCCTTGAGACATTCATCTCCCTGATTGTTTCACGAGGTCTGCGCTAAAGGGAGCGGTGCAGCGACGCAGGTGTTCACAACGGTCGCGCGACAGAGACAACGCTAGTCAATTATGGCCATCACTTTCTACAACATATGTACAGTCAAACCTGGGTAAGTGAGAACTGGATAAGTGAGAAAACTCTATAAGTGAGAGTAATAGCTAGGACCCGTCATTTTAAGCTCCCAAAACCTCTATTAGCGAGAAACAGAAACCTCTGTAAGAGAGAGTCGTTTTTCCCTCATGGACCTCCGTAAGTGAGACTGCTACTTATCTATACCTCTATAAGCGACAGTCGAGCTTTATTTAATTATATTATTTAGGAGGAACAAATGACAAAACAAATTACAAATTTAACATCTGCTATTTTATGACTTATTCACTTTCTCGTCAATATTGAACCTATTCTATTTCGTGGAACTGTTGTTATTTTATTGCATTATTTTCGAATGGACACGTGTGCCTGTGTACAGTCCTGTTTGTCGGACTTACTCAGTTTATCGTTAATCAATTGCGAAGGAAAGTTCTGTTCTGCATCATGTCAAAACGGAAAATGAAAGTACTGTCAAGTAAAAGTTAAACTGTAAATTAAAGTACTGAAGTGATAAACTTAAAATAGTGAATGCGTTTGAATCCGGAAAATCGTGAAATGAAATTCAGAGGGTGCATTAGCGAGAAACTCGGGTTAGTGAGAAACCTCTATAAGCGAGAATGAGATTGTGCTCCCTTGAACTCTCACTTATCCAGGTTTGACTGTATATAATTTATTGCTTTAATGATTTGTAGAGCATTGTGGTGTTTTTTTTATTTTATAAAATTGTATAACAAAAAGGCTCATTGGTAGAATACCAAAAATTTATGAAGCGTCGGTGGGCTAAAGTCCCGCAAGTACCAACATTTTCTCGAGAAATTAGCTCAATACGTGCTCACGCATGATGTCCGCGATGAAATAATAACATCATGCAACCCGAAAACAATAGTATAGCAGTAGTAGGACAATAGATCAAACTCCCGGTCCTACGATTCCCACCGCACGCCTAATGTATATAATAATTCAATATCAGTACATCATATACCTTATGGTAGGTAAATCTATCGACTTTTATAATAAGAAACACAGTGCTAATAAATCAGTTATACAAAAGATTGATAATAATTTACTGCGATTTATGTTTTTTTTTAAATCTTAGTTAATTTATGAAACTGAATAATATTGCAGCGTATGTAATTTAGAAGAAACCTGTAACTTGCCTAAACGCATTTTATTTACTAACATAATTTATACAAGATGAACCAGTTGTTGTTTCAAAAAAAAAAGCCTTCGATATGTTTTAATAGACAAATTATTATTTCTTCGACGTAGATTTTTGTAAATAGTACACTTGGTGATAATACGTCAATTGTCTTTGATTAGGTATATTTCTGTTGGCACACCTTAGAACTAGCCAATTTCTATAACTTTTAAATTCTCATTATTTATACATTTTTTTTCGTAATGTATTTTATGCAGTATGTAAAAATAGTATTTGATTTAGAGCAATGTGTTTTTAATCTTCGTCATGATGTTATACTGAATGTAGAGCTAATAACTCTGAGAAGTGAATAACTCACTTGTGCTGCACGCGACTTGCAGCTCAGGATGAGCTACATCCAGCCTTGTGTACAGACGGACATAACGCAGTTATTAAATTAGCAAAGTAAAACTGCCATATATATTTATACTTCAACTGTCCGGTGGTAGGTGGCAGACGAGTGTCACAGAGTAAACAATTAAGGTTATTTTCAAGTGATGCTTGTTAATTTATAAGCTAGCTAATGTTTAATTTAATGGTCTGTTGTGTTCCTATAATAGTTCTCAAAATAATCAAATGAGATAATTGAATATCATTAAATTAATTAAAATATAAGGCTGTTTTAGTAAAATTATAATTATTTAAAAAAGTCACTCAACCCTGCACTGTTCGGTATGGGATTCCTTCAAATTCCACACCAATATGTACAAGGTTTTGGATTTTTATTCTTTATGTTTTATTAATTTACATTTTATATTTTTTTATAATAATATAAATATAATATATGTCAATAATTGTTTCGTACAAAAGTTTTTAAGCACGTCACTAATAATGTGTGTTACACTAAGTTTAATTTATTGTCTGTGAAATCGAGGTACTCCTTCAATAATGGATACTGAGTAATAATTAGAACAGTTCCATGGAGTGCTGACATCGAGACGTTAAATAAACCAAATCACAAAGTGAAATTACTTCCCGAAGTTCAGCTGACGCTCGGGGTCAATGACCCGCGGCGGCGCGGCGGCGGCTAGACTACCGACAGTAGCGAAGTGTTTGTGTGACAGTAGAGTTTAGAAAATTATAAGTATTGCTTTCCGTGTATTTTGAGATTTAATATTATTACGTCATATCCTTTCTACATCCTGCCATTTAAAAAGAAAATTATCAACGTTTTATGTAGACACTTAATGTATAATTTTTTGTACTGAATGCACTTAGATATTGAACATAAAAATAAAAACTCCCATAAATGAGTTAGTTCGCTCATTGAAGATTGATTTTAAATGAATAAGAAAAGTTTCGTGTACAATTAATATAAAAAACGCTATTTCACCCTCTACTGCCCTTCTATTCTTTGCTGCAAATTGTACTGTTAATCAAATTCTCCCCCCAAACTTCCTCTAAAAATACCTAGTCTATATTTACAGTCTGAATAGTAATGTGTATTTTATTTGTTTGTTAAATTGTTAAAAAAAGTTTGTATTACAAAGGCAAATGTAATAATAAATTATTTACGTAAGTGTGTGTAACGTTTAACGTATAAGTATATAAGTATATTTAGTAATAAGTAATAATTTCCTTCTTATTCCGTTAGACTTCAAGCCTTGGCTCTATTGTATTTCATGTAGATAGTACATGTGAAAAACAGTATGTAATTAAAAATACCCACAGTATAAACTGTTTATCGTCTTTATTAGTTAATTAATAAAAATAATAACAACTGACGAATTCGGTTATTACAAGTAATGAATGTTGTGAACGTGATTAATATGATGTGCTCGTGTGAAAATAATAAACAATGTGATTAATATTTTAGGCAATAAAAGTGTAAGCACAATTTAAGTTTCTTTGGTGTTTTATTATTATTCCGGTCTCTTTGTGCGAATGAATGTGTCGCTTCTATGTTTGCGGCTTCCATTAGTCTGAAGTCCGTCGGCCCGGACATCGGCCGGAGTAGCAACAAACACGCAGCGGTCTCACCGGGCTACCTGGTGAGACCTGGCACAGGCTGCACGCCGCTGGAACACTTAGTTTCTTTGCTCATTCGCGGCGCTGCACTACAGCTCTACAAACTCAAGTCTCCGGAAGTAGGGTACTGCTGCAGCAAGCGTTCCGTTGCTTGCAGTTTTTTTTTTAAATTGCCATGTAGGTAGGCGGGCATACGGCTCACCAGATGCTGAGTGGTTACCGTCTTTCGTGGACTTCAGCAATGCCAGGGGCAAAGCCAAGCCCCTACCTACCGTTTAATACTCTCCACAACTCTCATTTGAAGAAGGACATGTCACAGCACCGTGGAAGGGAGCTCATTCCAAAGCCGGATGGTACGTGGCAAAAAAAATCTCTGGAAACGCACTGTGGATGAAGTTTCAAAAAGAAACCGAAGAAATGGGACAGTGTATAAATAAAAAGCAATTTTAAGTATTATTTATCGTTTAATAAATAATCTCACTTGTTACGGATATGCGTATTTAAAAAGCATCCTTTTATTTAGATACAAATTGCATTAACAAAATCAAGAGTTCGTACAGCCTTATCAAGACGTCTTATTGCTATGTTTGTTGTCGTTGCACGTTTACCGAAAGCGAATTTTTATTATGGCAACACTTTTTTGAAGAAAAATTGACAAAGTTTCAAAAGTACTAATTCTATAATAATTTCACAATTCGTAAACGCGTTTCCTTTTTTCTTTTTAGTTTCCTTAAAGATAATATAAATTCCAGCTCTTTTGAAGTGATTGATTTATGACGCCTCCAATACACACACTACAGTACAGATTTAAGTTATTAAATTATTTTAACCATAAAGTGATTTATTTTCCTGTAAACTTAACAAAAACTTTATTCTGACCTTTATCTATTTAAACAAATAAATATTTATTATGCTATAAATTTATTATAAAAATAGTACCGAATGAAACATAAATTACCAGTGGTCCGACTGAACCAGCCTTGAGTGACACTTCAATTTGTGTTGTCAGAGCATAAAGCAGCATCGTGGGCACGCGTCAGTGGTCAAACTATTAAGGACGCTTATTTAAAGGATTTTTTTAAACTAACGTATAACTAATTGCATTTATTTATTTGTATTTTTCTCGGTATCGGAAAACGTTTCCATACTAACGGTACATTACATACTGGGAGAACTTTTTTTTCTACCTTTTCGCTGATAGCCCAGATAGATCTATGGTACTATATGGATTGTCTTTATACATTAGATCTGAACCTAGTACAACTACTTACAGACTGCTCACGTAATTAAGAACGCTGAATAGTTTATTATAGTATATATAAAAGCCGTTGAAGTTCATGGTCAAATAATCACCCAAATTGTATAAAGCGCCACAACACAGGATTATCGGCAAATGTTGCGTTTAAATTTTACATAATTAAACACCTGTAATGGGCATTCATATAGAAAATTGGTCTGTCTTTACGTTTAAAATAGTTGACTAGATAATTAAATATACCGCAATAATACTAAAGAATAACTAAATACATCACTTTTGTCAAATTCAAATGTAACTAGAAGTACCTAACTACACAAAAAAAAGTTCACAGCATCGTTGAAGAAGCAGCCGATTTCTGACACTAGTCATTTCTAAAAATGAAGAAATGAAGTCTTTGATGCTGCCATCCGTGGGAAACGTATAGTCTATTTTAGCACTAATCTATTTAGTTAACAGCAGCTTTGTTGCACTTGTTGGCAAATGAACACCGTGTTCCGATCTCGATGCGATGATTAAATGCGAATCAACAATTATTAACTATTCATAGATCCTGTCACTGTTAATGGGCAAGAAATAATGCACATCGACTTCTGGAAAGAGACATTCTTCTTTGTAGAGCATTGTCCCTTTCGCACACTACATGTGCTACGTTTTGGTTTTGTCAGTCGTTCGACAAATGCGATGGATTATGCGTCCAGTTCAGTATTTATATAGAGAGTTGGTAACACCCCCAAATTTAAATGATTTAGAATTGTACTATGGCATCTGTAGGAAAAAGAGGGAAGCCGTTACATGGTTATGTAGCCTCTAGAAATGTGGTTATGAATTTAACTACAGTAAAAACATTGTTGGCAGAAAAAGTAAACATGATTGGGAGTGAAGAGTGGAAAAAGGTTTGCGATCATGCAATTAAATGTGAGAATGAGTTTCGAAAATTTCAACACGTTCTAGATAATTAAACTGATAGACTGGTAATAAATACGGCTGAAGGCGACAATTATATTGACTTCATTAAGACCACTGATAATGAATCAGAAGGAATTGAGGTTTTACAATTGTTTTGTCAGAATATATCACTTTTCAAAATAAATAAATCAATGCGTAAACATATATGTTTTTATTTTATTTTATAAAAATAACATAAAGAAAAANACGTTCTAGATAATTAAACTGATAGACTGGTAATAAATACGGCTGAAGGCGACAATTATATTGACTTCATTAAGACCACTGATAATGAATCAGAAGGAATTGAGGTTTTACAATTGTTTTGTCAGAATATATCACTTTTCAAAATAAATAAATCAATGCGTAAACATATATGTTTTTATTTTATTTTATAAAAATAACATAAAGAAAAAAAATGTTTTATAAAAAATAAAATAAAAAGAATAATCAAAATAAGCAACTCACAATAATTATTTTAACAGCTCTTAATAGATACCAGACATTTAGTATTTCGGGAGAAAGTAACAACGCTCTACAAAGCCGAAATTAGCCGAATGTCTCTTTCTAGAGGTCGATGTGCATTATTTCTTGCCCAGTACTATGGCTAATTAGTTGAAGATTTTTTTGTACTTGCACATAATACGTCAAGAGATTAATACGCCTTTTAAGAAATCACTTCGAAACTTCCTCGACGCTTTGTAGAGCAACACCAGCCTCTACGAGCGCGCTGAGAGACTGCTGTACGCATAAAACTGTTAACTATTAGCTTTTTAGCTCGGCTAATGCTTATTGTTATCCATTTACCCTTAGGTACGTATTACACTATTCAATTTTCGGGTCGGGAACAGTAAGTAATCTAACAGCCTGTGTGTACACAGACTGGCACAATTATGACTGCCCTTTTTATTCGATATAGTACATATTACGCTTTGTAATTCATCTAGAGACACGTTTACATCTACATATACCGAACGCGTCTAGCGTGTAGTCTATAGTCGCAAATAATATCAATAAGCGTTATAAGAAAATTAGTGTTAAATTTTGAAAAGCGTTTTCATATTGCGCTTTGCTTTCGATAACGTGCCCCAATCACAATAATAATAACATATGAAAAGATAATGTCGAGCGGCGAGGCCTTATTTACGTTTGTGCCGAGCAACCATTCCTTTACTTAAATTAAAACTTAAATTTAATTAAAACATGAGATCTTGTATCTTCACACGCACCCAAACATACCCGGTCAATTTAATAATAATTGGATATATATTTTTTAATATATATTTGAGGATATTAATATGGCAGTTTCTTGATACTTATTGTACATTATTTGTGTATAAACGAGATAACAATTCCAATAATACTTTTTTTTTGTTTTGACTCTTACTTCACGTCTCAGAACTTGTCGACATAACAGTTAAAATGACAACAAATGTCAGCGCGGAGTTTCTTAAAAATGTCACTAACATAAACACGGAAACATTGAATACTATTTTACTATTAAAAACGAAGGTTATTTAACTGTTCAACAAATTTAATCTGTAATCGTCTAAATATATTCTCATAGAGTCTGATATTAAATACGAACCGGCAACTTGTTGAGACGCGAGTTGACCACAGCTATACACACATAAGTAACGGTTGGACATTTCCTATAGTTCTATAGAGCAACGCAGCGCCGGCCGCCGCGAGCTTGTTCGAGTTGTACTGTCTGCAGTCGCGCATTCATTCACTCGATAATAATTCACCACAGTAATTTTCATCACATATAATTTTAAACGAACAATTAATTATATTTATAACGATATCAATTCACAACCTTACAGCCGTGATTTGTCTTAAATAAAGTAATGGACGAAAAATAAAACAAAATGTCTTTTGGATGCTAACAATACAATTACGTAGCGTGGCGTGGCGTGGCGTGGCGTGACGTGACGTGGCGTGACGTGGCCAAACCAAACGACAATTTCGTGTGGTAGTTATTTATTTAATTTGTTGAACGTGACGATCGTTACGGCGGAGCTGCCTGACTCATACCTAAACTGTTATTTGAGATCACAATTTATATCTTTAGCACACGTTTTGTTTGGCTCCCTTCTCGTTAGGACAGTCGCGCCGTCGAGTGGTCAGAATAACAATAATATTTTCGTTGACACCTTTTTTAGTATTTAAGTCGAAAATGTATGAGCACATTCACACATTCCTCATGACTACTGCACCGTATTTCCGTATCCAACAATTGCCACAGTCCTGACGACCCTCACGGTCTCTTTTATTCTTGTAATAATCACATCTAAGTTGTTCTATTTTTCTACGCGATCAAACTGTTCGCTAAGTTTCCTCCTCAAGGACCGTAGAAAGGAGGCGTCTCGCGCGTTCTGCGCGTTACAGAACCTTTTAACACTTAGGCCGGCGAGAAAGAGATAGATAAGTTATTCGAAAAGACACGTCGTGTGCATATAACGACGCGTATTAAGATTTATCGATTCATTAAAGTCTATAAAACATAGAAGGTCCCGAGGTGAGCGAAAACATTGTCAACGTGATGAAGGCTTGGTGCGCAGAGGAGCACCGCGACTGAAGAATGTTTAATCTCAATGCATATCACAGATCACTTTATCTAAATTATAAGCAATCGTCCTAGGGGAGCAGTTTGTTGCGGAACAAACATAAAGTAGTAAGAAGTGGGACGTGGTCGGGTGATCAGTCGGCGGTGCGCTGGGTGGTGTCGTCGGCCAGGCTGGCGTTCCTCCGCAGCACGGACAGCGCCCGCCGAGCCTCCTCGTCAGTCTCGCGGCGCCAGGCGGCCCGGCCCCCCGCGTACTGAGCCTCCTCGAACCCTGCTCGCAGTCCCAGCACGATGCTGAGCGCCGACGCGTCCTGGCCGTGACATCCCGAGTACCTGTACTGCGGCTTCTTGTCGAACCGACAGCCCGCGGACTGCGCTCCGATCGGCATGATGCACTCGACGGTGAGCGCGCACTGGATCCAGGGCCGCATCACGTCCGGAAGGGCGGGCGTCTCGGCCACCACCAGCTTGGAGACGTCCAGCATCTGCACGAACAGGAAGTCGTCGACGTCCGCGTGGAAGTAGTGAAACATGCGTGGGTGCGTGAGCGAGGTGACGGCGGCCCGGCGCGGCCACGCCACCACGCCCACGCGGGACGCGCGCGCGCGCTCCCACACGCCGCCCAGCGCGCCCGCCGAGCCCGCCCAGCGGAGTGACGGCTCGCTGAATATCACCCCGCCGACGCGGCTCAACGCGTGCTGGAATCACAACACAACTACTAAAATGTTCTGCGTCTACAATCGGACTGCGTTACAGAAATTTAAAAATACGACGTCTTATTATTTAATACCGTCGTACGCCCAAGTCACGAAGAATGAGGTCAATATACTTAGTAACAGACGAACCATATATTTCATATTCTCGTGCCAAATTAAACGAATTTGCGAGAATGACGTAGGTACTAGATAAAAATGTTTGGCACGTCCCGACTGACGTATCGTACGAACAAAAAAAAAAGTTATTTAGGTATTTAAAAACAGAATAAAATAATTTTATTTTGTTATTTATTATTTTATACTAATATAATAAAATATGTGAATTTTTGTATGTATGTCTGTTACTCCGCCACGAAAAAGTGACCAAACGGATTTGGATATCAATTCGCACCAAGATAATTTATTGCCTGGGTTACCTAACACAAAAGGTCTTTTTTATTATGGTAAATCTTATTATTGGGGCAACCTCATGTCTATTCTGCTACGATAATCAACTATGACCGAATTCGCCAATTTGTGTTTTTACGCAGCAACGGATCTACACATCGACGATTCAAATTTATTAATTCACAATTCAAAGTGTGTAAAACCGCGGAGTCCAACGCGTCTAATTATTATATTGGTCGCCTTTAAGTACAAAATACATTATAACGTTATAATTAAATAAAAAAATGTAACACTACTATTATATATTCCGTGATNAACTATGACCGAATTCGCCAATTTGTGTTTTTACGCAGCAACGGATCTACACATCGACGATTCAAATTTATTAATTCACAATTCAAAGTGTGTAAAACCGCGGAGTCCAACGCGTCTAATTATTATATTGGTCGCCTTTAAGTACAAAATACATTATAACGTTATAATTAAATAAAAAAATGTAACACTACTATTATATTCCGTGATTTCTAATGTCATTAAAGAAATGAAACGACATAAGTTTGTAAAGAATGCCAGATTTTTATCCAGTTGGTATTTAATAATCTTTAATAAACTCATACATCCACTTGGGGCTTAAAGCCGGTACGCTGTTTACGACCAACGTAACGAGCAGTGTAATAATAACTTGGAGTGCTGGAGCAATGTAATAAATAACCCGACACAATAACCATAAAGTTTTATATGTTAGTGGTGGTAGGACCTCTTGTGAGTCCGCACGGGTAAGAACCACCACCCTGCTTAATTCTGCCGTGAAGCAGTAATGCGTTTCGGTTTGAAGAGTGAGGCAGCCGTTGTAACTATACTGGTGGGCTGTGAGATCGTACACCCATCTAGGCAATAAAAAAAATGTACTAAGGAAAGTTGTGCGATCTATCCACCACAACAGGTGCTCTGGTGCTGAATTGGGCAAGCGTGTGCAGCGGTGACTCAAACCCATAGATACCATGATAAGAACGACGCGCCACAAAATTTGAGATATGACATCATAGCGCAAATTGTAATATAGTATTTCTTTCAAACAATAACTCTGAACGGGCAAACGATTTTACAGTCCATCTGATGTTAATTTGCTACCGGAACATACAAAAACATGTGGTCGAAGTCTCAACAGTATTGTATAAGAATTGTCCCACCCTTCAAAACGGAATGTGTTTCGCGAAATAGGTAGGATGGGAAAGGATAGGTGCATAGCTTAGTACGAGTACACCGGGCATCTTAGGCAACGACGAAGAAACGTAGAGTCGAAGCTTGTGATTTGCGGCAGGCTTAAATCCAATACGTGCGGGTTAAAATACCACCGGCCATATTTCGTAAAGAAAAACCTAAATACTAATAAAGACGACCGAAGCAAACAGAACTAAAATCCGATAAGGAATAAGTTTGAAACGAAATTTTTGAATTATTGGCACGCATACAACGGAGAGCGTAAACAAGTGAAGGCTTCAAGACATACTTCACACAGAAATGTGATACTGACACGTTCTTTGGGAAAGAAAGAAAGCACCCCGCTCAATCACCAACAAAAAATTTAAATACCTATAGTTATAAACTTTATTCTTGTGAAGTATAGATTACTCCAATCTATATATTAATAGGTGAAGCAAAAACTTTGTATCCCTTTTTACGAAATTTGCGCGGACGGAGGAGTATGAAATTTTCCACACTTATAGAGAATATAGAGAAGAAGTGCACAATGCTAATATTCTTTTAAAATAATGCATAAAAGATACATTAAATCAATAAAGAAAACATTACACACACTATATACCATGTATTTGACGCACACACGCATGCATACTATTTATTGTCAAACTTTTGTTCTTGACGTCTGTTGTCAAATTGAGATTAAATATTGTTTGTCTTGGTTAATATTTATTATAGTGTGGTCTTGGCGAAATTTGTGATTATATAATTTTAAATTCAATCATAATAGTGTACAAACTTACATTTCCAATTAATTATAGTCGAATTTCGACTACTGCGGGACCTCTATTAATTATAAATTCGTCACCAACTTCAAGATTGAAGGACTTTAAGAATAAAATTTATGATACATCTTCGAATTTCAAAGATCATTGAGGATTTTTCCTTTGTATAGAGTATAGGAAGCCCTAGTTTCCTAAATTGGTAACAAACACAATAATCTGCAATGCTCACGCACCACTTGCCCCAGCATAGGATCGCTCTACGTAGTATTTATTAGCTGAGCCACAACCCAACGCCACAGCAAACTTCAAACAAGCCTTCGACTTTTAGGCGCTGGGTTGAATCGATTTTGTCTTTTAGGTCAGGCAAATGACCCAGACAGCTAAATTATACCCAAGTCTAATACGATTGTTTTCAGCCGCACTATTAGGTAAATGCCTGGATATTCCAGTTCACCTCCCTACTTCGCATTTATGAGTATTGACACACGACGATCTGATAGACATGATGTATGGTAACAATTCGAATTAGTGACAACAAGTGAGGGCACTCTTACTACGGATGAATAATCTGAAAGTAGCAGCATTATGTCTGCATCTCCGTCTTCCGATTGAGGGCGGGAGATGTATAAAAGATCGTCTTGTTCAGTTCATTCGCCTTTCTGTTATCTCACTCCAAGTATCTGTGATCGATTCTACTTGATTATTTAAACAAGATTTGTATCGCGCGCGTAGCTCTATTGTGTCACGCGTGCCACGCAATCATAGGGCACGGCTTATAAAATACTACAACAATTCCAGCTAACTTGAAAGTGATATTCTGATCCTAATAGAAGAAGCAAAAAATGTACTTTTTGTTTTCATTCGGATTCATGTCTCTTGTAGTCTCTTGATAATTTTAAATGATAAAAAGAAGTGTTATTCTAAAAATTATCGCAAAAGGTTACTATTAAAAATGAAATATAATAACAATAACATAAAACAATCAGTTTATCGAATTGTTATAAAGATAAAAATATAAATGCTTAATATTGCTCTTTCTGTTAACCAGATTCTAATGACTCGCTGGCACTAAATACCTATCTATGCACAAGGGGAAAAAACTGTGTTTTTTTAGAAAATTTTCGTCTTCAAAGTTTGTAGTAATTTAACATTTTGATGATTAATCGCTTTACCAGGACGCAGCCGCGGCATTAGGGCTCTGGATTGCTTGGTGTGTCATTATTGTCAACACTAGTGGTAAGGCGCGATGAGAGCCCGCACGGGTTGTTATCACCCCACTTATTACGATAACAAACAACAGATTAAAACTTAATGATTCTTGCCGTATCATAACCAACAGTTGTATTTCAAATACCTGATTTAAATTATTTTGAAATTGCTATTACCCCCGTATTTATTCAGGTTGATAGGACCTACGTACGTGGATGACATTATACAGGGTGTTACAAAACTACCCGTAAAGTCGAAAGGAGGTTATATGGGGCCTTATAACGAGTCCATTCACAATATTTAAGAATCGGCGTTGCAACTCTGTATAACATACCCCAAAAAAATTTATTATTATCACTGATGTGCAAAACCTATTTCTGTAAAATTAATGAGTAGACTACGCAGATTGTACCTACATTTCTACTTAAAATTTTCACAATTACGATAGGTACTTGAGTATAATGACATCCTTGTATTGAGGTAGCCAACAGTTATGAATGAAAAATAGAAAAACTAGGTATTCAAGTAGACAATTATTATATAAAATAGATACGTAGGGTTGACAAAGATTTTGTCTTCGATAATTAATTTTATTTTTACGGGGATTTTTGTAACACGTTGTAATATTTAAAGTAGTTATCGATAAAAACATGCAACTGGCAATGAGGCTAGTTGTAACACTTTCCAATATAAGGTGATGTTTCGCTATAATTATTATTATGAAATTGTGCGTTATCTGTTTCTCTGAATACACTTGACTATCTAGTCGGAGAATCTATGTATTTGTATTGGCGTAACAGAATGTGACAGTCAAACAATGCTATTAAAATTATCAGCGAAGCTAGTAGAGCTTGGAAGGCTGAAGAATGAAACGCTACAGGTTTGTATTTAATCAAAAACATGCTTTCCCTTGGATCGTAATGGTGGTCGATTTGTACAAATGGCACGGACAGAATGGAAAGCAGTCGACGTCGCCCAAAACACGTCATCTCGGATCCTCCCGATCCACTAACGGTGCTTCTAGGTACTTCAAGCACCGGTCACCGTTCTCGTCGAACCCGTCGCTTGTGACGAAGGGCTCGACGAGTAAATTAACTCTTAGACACAGCCCACTGAGTTTCTCGCCGGATCTTCTCAGTGGGTCGCGATACCGATCTGGTGGTAGATTCTGCGAAGCACGACTCTTGCTAGGGTTCATGTTAGCATCGTCGTCAGGTTTGAGCCCCGTGAGCTCACCTACTAGTTACGGTTACGTTGGAATAGCCTCTCTAGGCTACCAGCTTAGGTAGAGAAAAAAAAAAAACAAATGGCAGGTACAAAACGAATTAAACTGTTTGAATTTATTTTCTTTTAACGGCAGTTTTTACTTTATCTTTTTAACTATAATTCCTTTGTCAGATATTTTTTTTCCTGCTTAGATGGGTGAACGAGCTCACAACTCACCTGGAGTTAAGTGGTTACTGGAGCCCATAGACATCTACAACGTAAATGTGCCACCCACATTGAGATATAAGTTCTAAGGTCTCAAGTAAGTTTACAATTACTGCTTCACGGCAGAAATAGACAGGGTGGTGGTACCCACCCGCGCGGACTCACAAGAGGTCCTACCACCAATTGCTGTCACTACTTTACAGATACCCAGCGAGATCGTAGTCCGTGTAAAACTAATGTAAGCAAATAACCTTGCCTAGATGCACGAAATGCATGAAATATCGCTGCGTTAAAACCGATAGTAGGTAATCTCGTGCTCGTATGCCTTATCACGACCATTATCAAACCATATGAACAAATTGTTTCCGTTTCGGAACTTACTCTTGCAACATTACTTTACATGTAGTAAGTGGCGATCAGTCACGCCAGAGCGGCTAGCCTACCGCTAAACTCTTTCACAAAGCTCGTTTGAAGCAAGACAACGGCTGCCTTACCCTTCAGACCGAAACACATTACTGCTTCACGGCAGAAATAGGCAGGGCGCTGGTACCTACCCGCGCGGACTCACAAGAGGTCCTACCAGTAATTACGCAAATTATAATTTTTGCGGGTTTGATTTTTATTACACGATGTTATTCCTTCACCGTGGAAGTCAATCGTGAACATTTGTTGAGTACGTATTTCATTAGAAAAATTGGTACCCGCCTGAGATTCGAACATCGGTGCATCGCTCAACACGAATGCACCGGACGTCTGATCCTTTAGGCCACGACGACTTAGACCCCAAAAATCCCTATTGTTTTCCGGATGTTGTTTTCTTATCGACTTCATTAACGGCTTTCACACGCCCCATTAATTATTGGCGAGTAAGTTATATAGTACTCAAATGAAACACGACAGTTGTCTCATTCAGTTCATTATAATCATGACCCAACACGCAGCTAGCGTGAGAGGTGATTCAATTAAAGTCACCGAGTAGCCGCGGATCGTGGCGCGCGGTTTTTAACACAAATTGAGCCTTTAATTGACATTCATCATCTGTCCTTCCCGTAATTGTCGCTTCTTTACATTGCAGTCAACCTAGCCACCACTGGTATAGGTCATGAAGAAGTTATGCCGCGTCATGCAGTTCGGTCTCAGGCCTTAATGCAGCTCATATGAGAGAGCTCACATAAGCTGACACGGAAGAGAACGCTGAGAGCTCACACGGCCCCACTTACTACTATTACTTCTAGTAATAGCTTAGTAGGAAGGAAGGTAGGAAGGCTCAGGAAGCGGGGACGTGAGTTTGTCTACCAAACTACGCTTGAACAAATCATATTACTAAATATTATCATTTTGAAAAGATCTTCTGAGGACATAGAGAAGCATAGGCAGACCATATGCAGACCGGTAACCAAGGTAGGTACCCAAAGTACTAGGACGCTGACTTCAGTGTATGTAGCGAGTGCGTGCGTCAAATTAATTGTCACATCATGTCGCGTGTGCCAGGCACGCGTAATTATGCCATTAAACTATAGGCTTGTGAGTGGACAATATAATAACTAGCTGACCCGGCAGACTTCGTAGTGCCTCAATCGATAAATAAAAGACCTAAACTTTTTTTATAAAATATACATAAACAAACAAAAGGAATCCGTCCGACGGGGAAAACATCAAAGGAAAAACAAAATTGTTTGTTTTTATATAATTCCGAGCATTTTTTTCACTTTTTAAACCTTCTCTGGACTTCCACGAATAATTCAAGACCAAAATTAGCCAAATCGTTACAATGTTATATTAATATGTAATATTAAATCTATCTTCTATGTTCTATCTATATATATATATATATATAAATAAATTGCTGTTCGTTAATCTCGCTAAAACTCGAGAACGGCTGAACCGATTTGGTTAATTTGGTCTTGAATTATTTGTGGAAGTCCAGAGAAGGTTTAAAAGGTAGATAAATATGAAAATGCATTTTGTTTTCTCTTTTATGTGTCCCCCGTCGGACGAATTCCTTTTGTTTGTTTTATATAATTTTATATAATTATTTTATATAAAAGCTTAGGTCTTTTATTTATCGATTGAGGCAGTACGAAGTTTGCTGGGTCAGCTAGTTATTTATAAATAGTATTAATTAGTATATAATTTTAATAATAATATTATAATCCGTCTTTATACTGTCAAGTATATAAAGTTATAAATAAATAAATAAAATAGACTTATAAACTGCTTAACTTTTTGTTTAACTAAACACTTTACTCAATATTAGTTGGCAAATACGCATTTCTTATAATGCACTTTATCTTGGACGTATTTCATGAATACGTGTATTAGGTACGTATTTCTTAACACATTCGACTGCCGTGTAGGTCTGTCATTGAAGTCATTATGTCGATTTTTCTCTTCGATATTCTTACTAAGGCGCCGGAATATCTAGTAGACTCTGGAAAAACGAATTTGAAGATACTAAGAGTGAATATATTTCTAAGAGACCTAAAAGACTAAAACATATTATAACAAACAAAAGGAGGCAAAGTAAGGCAATCCAGGCGCTTCGTGACAAAAATCGACATAATTACTTCAGTGCGCCATGTAGGGCCCCGGTGACCTATACGGCAGTCAACGTGTTAAGAGAAATTGGTACCAGCCTCTGTTGAAAGTCTGTGTAACCGCATCGTACGACGCGAGTAATCTTGGCGTAAACATAACACCACCGACATTTCTCGATTCATACGCAGCTAACAAATCAAATCAAATCAAAAAAAATTATAAATGAAAGTACATACCTACTTGTTGAACGTCAAAAGAACTACCGCCAATTCACAAAAACTGACCTCCGTCCTGAGAAGAACTGGCAAGAAACTCAGCGGGCATGTCTTTTATTTTTATTTTTTATATTAGTTTTTTTTTCAATATTCATTTTTACAATGAGTATTATAACGTAACAATTATTGCAATATTGAAATGCCCTGAGCGAGCAACTCATTCCCACTTTGTTGAGAGAATGAGAACCGTATTCCATTAATGTTGCGGGGACATATTATATTGTGTTATGGTTTTGATTGCGGACACATACAGGGAAACCGTACATTGTATTCGTGTTGTATCGCGGCCTTGGTGCGTTTTTTGGCAACCGTACATAAATCATTGTGCAACCGGCACAGGCTGTTGTGACCTTTTCATTTAGATTTAATATTAGAGTTCATTCGTTCACAGCGAAGAACTATGAACGTGCCTTAAATGCACAAGATCCGGTAACCACTTAACACCAGGTGGGCTGTGAGCTCGTCCACCCATCTAAGCAATAAATAAATAAATAAAAAATCGAATCGAAACTTTGGATGCAAGTGTAGAGAACGGAATTCACTACCAACTTCTTTGACAGTACAGTAAAACAAAGAAGCCATAAGTAATTACCTGTATGATGAGAGGCCTAAACGCGTATATGCTCTCGTCACTGACGTGCGACGGAAAGGCGTCCAAGTCGAAGTCGATGATGGCGCACTTTGAAGAATTGCAATAGTTCGATACCTGTGTAAGCAACAAAAACATCTAAGTGTGATATTTAAATTGACATTGACGCACAGGTTTTGGGTGTTTTAGCGCGATAGCGGTACCATGTGTAACTCTTCCCCTAAACTGCTGAGAACTGTCCTATCCATCCCAGTTCTTCATAGCGGGGCTGGACAAGCGCTTCTACACTTAGCCCTTGTGCCATTCCCTTAACCTCTACACCTCATCTCCAAACACCTCTAATATGAATATGGTGATACACTATATAAAATCGTCGTGGCCTAAAGGATAAGACGTCCGGTGCATTAGTGTTGAACGATGCACCGGTGTTCGAATCTCAGGCGGGTAACAATTTTTCTAATGAAATACGTACTCAACAAATGTTCACGATTGACTTCCACGGTGAAGAAATAACATCGTGTAATAAAAATCAAACCCGCAAAATTATAATTTGCGTAATTACTGATGGTATGACCTCTTGTGAGTCCGCGCGGGTAGGTACCACCGCCCTACCTATTTCTGCCGTGAAGCAGTAATGCGTTTCGGTTTGAAGGGCGGGGCAGCCGTTATAACTATACTGAGACCTTAGCACTTATATATCTAGGTGGGTGGCGCATTTACATCGTAGATGTCTATGGGCTCCAGTAACCACTTAACACCAGGTGGGCTGTGAGCTCGTCCACCTATCTAAGCAATAAAAAATAAAAGCCGATAGACATCTCGATGATACGTTGCGTACATACTTTACGCAGAGATCTAGACTCTAGATAAACATCCTAGACTCTAGATTAGAGTTTAGTTCAAATTAAGTATTAATACATTTCTAAAAAAAATAATGCTTATATTCAACAGTAGCGCGTTTAGTTGACAATAATAGTTTTAATGGCTTCACGCCTCCTTTGTTATAATTACAACTCTACACAATAGTGCGACCTCACATCAAGGTTATTTACTAAATACAATCATATTATGTAGTTATGTGAATGCGATCGGTAGCAATGTTTGAAAATATTATTCATAATCGATTAAGCCTCTATAAACTGTCGCAAGAATAACTTAGCTATTATTACGTTTGTACTTTTAATGCCTTTTGCTACAATGAAAGCGATAGTCTAGAAGAAAACCGGCAAAAACTTGAATGGCGCTAACGTCATTTACATGTTAAGCTTGCGCAAATATAAGTTTACTGGTGATAGCCAGCGTAAACGCGTAGGTTCCACCACCCTTCCTATTTCTTCCGCGAAGCAGTAACGTGTTCCGGTCTTAATGCTGAGACAGGCGTTATACTATAGAACTAAGACAGAACGCATGTAGCAAGTGTAGTAGGTGATGCCAATTACGTTGTTGATGTCTATCGACTCTGGTAACCCACAAACACCGGGTAGACCGTGAGCTCATTCACTCATCTAAGCAAGTTCTGATCGAAACGGTATTCGGATCATCGTCGGTGACTGAGCAATGGCACCCGTTCACCTGAACATCTTCCCTTTGACGTTTCCTATATTACATATTTTGAGAATGAATCTGTGGCCGGATCAGTCTATCCCTCTCTAAAGCCAACGATAAAAGAAGTTGAACACTTTCTGGTCAAATTACCCTATCAACAGTCAGTAGTGTCAGTCATGCATCTAGGAAATGCACCTTGCACTTTGTTTCAAATGTTAAGATTAATGGGCTAATTAACAACTTCGAAATTATTTTAAACAATAATAAGTAGAGTATTACTCACCACTGTCAATGAATAAGATTTAAGACCCAGGTTGTATAGTAGTATTGTATAAGGTAGTTTGGCAGCGGCTCGCACGAAGCCCACGACTTGCGCGTGTTGGTCGCCGCGAGCGTAAGTCAGAAGCACAGGNTTGTTTCAAATGTTAAGATTAATGGGCTAATTAACAACTTCGAAATTATTTTAAACAATAATAAGTAGAGTATTACTCACCACTGTCAATGAATAAGATTTAAGACCCAGGTTGTATAGTAGTATTGTATAAGGTAGTTTGGCAGCGGCTCGCACGAAGCCCACGACTTGCGCGTGTTGGTCGCCGCGAGCGTAAGTCAGAAGCACAGGCTTGGTGCAGTTCTTCCAGGGCTCCACGTGGCTTCCAAGGCCGACCAACTTTTCGTACCTGTCCTCTTGGACGAGGTTGCTCTCTTCCACATCCCGGAGATTCTCCTGGGACAAAACCACCTACTCTGTTTTCATATTACTGTTTTTAATGGTTGATGATCTTCAATTATCAGGGTTTGTATGTATAACACTCTTTCCTATTACTTAAGCAAGAGCTGTGGTCAGATAAATTATACTAGCCCTTTTATATGTAAAAACTCCACAATTTTTAAGCTATTGTATAGATTTTATCGCGGGCCTTGAGCGCGGCTTGAGAGCGGAATCATGAAATTCCGTTACGAAAAAAACCTTACACCCCTCACTCCGCCTACCATGTAGCTCGCGTTCAACACATTCACACGTTGCGATTGTGTACTGTTTGTGAATAAGCGCGTGGCGTGACGTCACACTACATGCGCATCATGAAAAGTCTGCCCATCTCTCTCTCTCGCGCGGTCTAGCTTATGAGTGTGAAGGGGACACTTAATATTTATAAATATAGCGTGGTCTTATTTTATTATTGTTTTAATATTAAATTATGAAAAATTCCATGCAATAGCTTTACCGCGGCAGTCCTCGAGTGCCACACGTGTTTTTTTATATACGTTTTCAAGTATATCCACATCTTGCTTTAAAACTTAATATATTATACATAAAATTCTATTCAATCTAGTTGTGTTTTACATGTATAACCATTTTCTGCACTTTTTTTACACTTTTACTAGTTCACTGGTTTGAGCTCATAATAGCATATTATATATAACCAATAAATAAACCCATGTTAAGTAGATGGTACTATAACAGAATCTTTTTTGACCAGCCAAGGTTTGTTGTGGATCAATTCACTCATACATTTGAACACCAAAAACACAAACAAACTAATGAACCTACATTTTATATACAAAATATTTTAAGTTTAAGCATAAAAACTTTTCTTTTAAACACCAACACAATACCTTAATGAGATGGCATACACTGTTATTTTTTCATTCTACATGAAACAATATGTTAAATTTTTTACTCAGCCACTTTACCTTGAATCATCATCTCAATGTAATGATTTGTTTATAGTTTTTTTTTTTTTGTTAAGTTAACAATTGCTAATGATCTTCAGACTTAAGTCAGATTTCTGTATTCTTTGAAGTTTTCCTTCGTTGATTGTATTTATATAAATATTGAATAATGAAAATTTTATTAATTAGGCTCTATTCTCAAAACATCTACACAAAAACACTGACTACACTAAATTGACGTCTAGTTTGGATCTGAGCTGTGGCATATAATCATTTATTAAGATCAAAAATATATGAAGCAGCATATGTGTAGCCCTAGTTATGATAATATCCAAAAGCAATCATGATCAATTTCCATCAGTTGGGCAACATGCTTATCTGCCTGTTAATGGTATGGCATAAAATGCTATTCATTCCACAAAATGCTATTAAGATACTTTACGGCAAAATGACAATATTTTAATTTCACTTATTTTATATGCTCTTTATAAAGAATATTTTTCTGCTTTATGATTCTAAGTCTCGCTGCTGATTTTGGACACAAAGTATTTGCTTCATTTTCCCAAGATATGGACATAATAAAAACTCATTTTAATTCTGTTTTATTCTGATGTTTTTAAATAGGAACTTTACACTTTTCATGGTCAAGGACTACTAAGGCATTATTCGTTAACATGTGAATATTGTGATGAATAGTACTTTCCAAAAAAAAAAAAACTGTCTATCTAAAAATATGTATATTTTAAGTTTCATCTCAGAAATTTAAATATCGATTAAACATATTTAGACCTTAAATTTCAATATGTTTTTTAACGTATTATATGATTATATTAATACTTTATAATTATGTTAACGTTTTCTTAGAATATAAAAAACATGAAATATTTTAGACTACACAAACTTACTTTATTTTATTTATTTATTAATATATAACTTTTACTATTAATGATACAAACAGATATCAAATTACCTGAAAGTCCTTGATGTGTTGATGTGTCTGTGTGACAATACTCTGTATGGACTGTGGAGGCTGCGAATGAAATACTATCAGGAATATGCTGATCGCGAATACAGACGTTGAAAATACCAAGAAACTTTTAGTTTTCATTTTGAGCACATTCTCATTTTTAATGCACCCGCTTTATTTTCTCCTTATTGTCCATTTGTAGATTTAACGGACTTTAACTCTACATTCCTAAATATATAGTTTTTATAAATAAAATAAATCAATAACAGACACAAGACACCGCAAACATGTTCTCAGATTTTGAATTCAATTTTAATGGTAACTTATATCGTTATGTAGTATTTTACATAAATTATTTTACACCGTAACCAAATATCTTTACTAGTAAAAACGGTATTAAAACTTTTTCGGACTATTATTTTAAAATCTTTGTTGCAGAATATTAAGCGTCCGCATACTCACTCGTAATACGGACGAAACTTGGAAAATTTGACATCTGAGTTTTGACAGTGGTCATTCAATTTTTATAAGTGAAGTCGGGCGTAGGTGTGCTCTACCCTATGACTCTACCGAAAGAGGCGTAGGTGTGCTCTACCCTATGACTCTACCGAAAGAGCACAGTTTCTTATTTTTTTTTATTTTTTATTATTTTTTAATAGTGAAATAGAACAGACCTATAATAACAAATAAAAATCGAGTAGTATTTACATCATTCCTATACATTTGTTTACATGTAATTTGAACGGTCCATCGGAATACCTAACGTACGATACGTTAAGTAATTTGTCATTTCGTAATAAGGTGACACTCTCACTCCACAAAACTTGCATACGTCTGATCTAGACATAAGCAAGTGTAATGTTCGCTCACGCGGCTCACACTAACTTAAAACCCCTTCGAATCATACAATCCCGTATTTGCAGGATAGCCGTCGGAGCACCGTGGTATGTAAGGAACGTAGATCTCCACGGTGACCTGGACCTCGAGTCATCAGTAAGTATCTACAGTCGACATCAGTGCGCCATTTCTAAAAAGCGACACGACGTGAGAACCCTCTCATCGTGGCCGCGGGTAACTAAATTCCTGATCTTATGAACCCAATGGTAAACAGTAGACGTCGCCCTAAGCACGTCATTTCAGATCCTCCCGATCCACTTACGGTGATTTAGGTGCTTCAAGCACCGATAATCGTTCTCATCGAACCCGTCGCTTGCGACGAAGAGCTCGGCGAGTAAATTATCTCACAGACGCAGCCCACTGAGTTTCTCGCGGAATCTTCTCAGTGGGTCACGTTTCCGATCCGGTGGTAGATTCTGCGAAGCACTGCTCTTGCTATGGTTAGTGTTAGCAATGTCATCAGATTAAGCTCCGTGAGTTCACTTACTCCCCCGGAGAATCTAGTTTAAGCCCTCAAGGCTAGAATAGGCAGGAAAAAAATACAGTTTCTTACTTTTAAACTGTATTACTGACATTGTCAACCGTCAAGTGTCAGGGTCGTCGTTTATTTGATAACAGCGAAAATGTCAAATTTGTCAACACATTGTCATTATTATTTCTGTTCTTTCAAGTTCCCTTGTTGAGTCACGATTTTGTTCACGACTGTCGTATATATTTGTAATGTAAATGTACCAAGGGAAAAACATTTAACTATAAGAATAAAGATTAATCGGGCTATTATAATGTCGAATATATCAAAAAGACGACGGGAAGGGTCAAGGTCCAAGACCAAGGTAAGAAACGGGTCACATCGTGGCAGACTCACTCATGCTTAAACTTTTCAGAGAACCATACTACATAGTACATCGTATAAAACGATTAAATACATGATCTGTTTCGTGTCACAAATAGTGCACCTTTTGATATGACTGAATATCTGAGAATAACATCTGATCGCAGCATATCTTAATAAAAAAAGAGCGGTTTTATTGTTTCTCATTTTTGTGTTGTCATAAAATATATTTGTACCAGTTAAAACAAACATTGATGAAAATAGTTTTGCCAAAAATACTACATGACCTTACTACAAGAGTAGTGTGGGGTCTTAAGCAAACAATCCTTCAACAAATCCCATTTCCCCTTTATCATGCATAAAGCTTTTTTTTTTGACCAAAAGCATTCCCAGAAAGATTGCAAAACTTCTTAAATTAAGATGTTTTAAATTATTTATGTGTGAATTGTAAAATGAAATTTACTGCTTCACATAGGGCATGGGTGATCATAAAGAGTTTTTGAAGCGCATTACAAAGACCCTATACTACGGGCAGCTGCCTTCACTTCCGTGCCTCAGCCTGCCAGTCACTGGTATACTTGAAATTATTTCTTGTGTTAATTTCAGCAAATAAGTAACATAGTAAATAAGATAGAAGAAACTAAGTAACACAATGTTTATTAGACATATTTTAGGAGGATATTTTTATGATAATATACTTGCAAGGAGTCACCATCCTACCTATTTCTGCCATTAATTTTTCCATTTGGCTTTGAAAAGACAAAGACATTTGCATTGCATGTTTTTTTTTAAATAACTTAGGCCAGAGGTGCATATGGCTGGCTAACCTATTGGTGAGTGGTTATCATCGCTGATGGACGTCAGCAATCCCAGGGATGCAATAAAGCCCTTGCCTTCTGCTCAGTCCTAATGATATTATCTAGTGGTATATTTTTCTAAAACAAATCTAAATTTACACATGGATTTTATGAAATATGGAATTATATGTTGTACAGTACCTGATGTTTTTTTTTATTACATTGATATAATGACATTACAAAAAATTATAGAGATCTCATGTGAGACCTGGTCTTCTTCACAACGCGGTCGTTCACTGCGCCGACTGCACGCGGATTGGTCGGCGAGTATGGCCCGGGCAGCCTGTGTGTCCCCATGTGCGCTAGTGCTGGCGCTCCTTTACCTCGAGAGACTCAACAAGCACAACCCTAATTACGTAGCGGCGGCTGCACCCTCTGAACTCTTCCTTGTGTCTTTGGTAACATTTGTTTTATTATTCTATTATAAGATTTAATAATATTTGTTCATGCTAATTACAATAGAACTGCATTGTGACCATTAGCACACTACAAACAAGCTTTATGCAAGTAAATTTTTACTATGAGGCAAACTCTACTTGTGCCAACTCGTCTTCCTCATCTTCACTGAGTTCTGTATCGCCCACTAAGCACTCCCATCAGGCTGGTCGTATCTTCCTCTGCATATGAAGGCAATAGTAAAAATGAATGCAGTATTGTTTCTGAGTTGACATGGCTCATCTGATTTTATTATTGAAATAGCCACTATAACATGTCAAAGAAGATTTGGAGAGAGTGAACAGCCATGCGGGCATGCTTCTGGTACTGCTGTTATCCTTCAGCTTCAAGCCTCTCTGTGTTTACAAGTTAACATTGTTTTCTGTTTGTCACATATGGTTTGCTATTTTCAGATGGTAGGTAATAAATTCCTACAAGACGATGGTGAAGACGATGAGGTGATTTGCTCCGAGTGGGCTGCCTCTGGGGGTATGGAACTGAAGCAGCTCAAGAAACTGGAAATTGAATTCCTAAACGCCATAGTGAGGAAACACTTATTAATTTAGGATACCTAAAAACAAGTCAATTAAATTGCCTCTGCCATACTTAATCTAAAATATGAATATTGCATTGTCTTTTAAATATCAAATTTTAATTTAATTATGATTTTTGTTGTCAAATACATTATAAACATTCTCAAAAAGGAGTAATTAAAGTACAGTTCAGCATATTATAACAGAGCCAATTTTTCTGCACATAGGGACAGGGCTGATAGAAATTTCACTACATTTCAAAAGATGCTTACTGAATGTATCAAAACTTTCAGGATTGGAATATTTTTGTGAGCGATGAATCGTTCGAGGCAGGACTGGCGTGGCTGGAGCGGCAGGTTGCGCTGAAGCAGGCGCAGCTCCGCGGCTTCTTCACGTACGGGGACCTGGCGGCCTCCTGCGCCGACGTCGGCCTCTCGCGCCTGCTGCACGGCGCCACGCGCGCCTGCCTCGCGGCCTGCCTCGCCTACACCTCGGGGCTGGCGGCGCTGCTGGCCTCCGCGCTGGTGGTGTCGCACGCCTGGCTCCCCGCCCTCCAGCTCCTAGCCGCTCGAGCAGCCGCGCCACTGAACGACGACCTACGGACCAGCGACTGCCGACCCGACTTGTATACGAACAACGCCACACTGGAGCACCCCGTCGAGTTANCGCGCGCCTGCCTCGCGGCCTGCCTCGCCTACACCTCGGGGCTGGCGGCGCTGCTGGCCTCCGCGCTGGTGGTGTCGCACGCCTGGCTCCCCGCCCTCCAGCTCCTAGCCGCTCGAGCAGCCGCGCCACTGAACGACGACCTACGGACCAGCGACTGCCGACCCGACTTGTATACGAACAACGCCACACTGGAGCACCCTGTCGAGTTACTCGCGGAACACTTGACGGAAGCGAGCCTCGTGACCTGCTGCTCTAAATGGACGCAGTACAGAGAGACGGAGTCTCTAAAGAGAAACTGGCATGACCCTGTAACCTTGCAAGGATGGAAGTTTGAACTGTTCTGCTCAACGATTTCAGTTTTTAACTGGCCATACCAAAGTTCATTAGTCAACCCCGTGCAGAGATGGTTGGAAAAGATGAACGAATATGCAGATTTCATCAAACATCGATTCCTCTACCCCGAGTCGGAACCAGACGGGCGGCGAGGCGTCAGGCAGTGCCTCAACTTCAGTAGGCTCAGCTCGTGGGCAGCCAGCTCCTCGGATCGATAGTCCACAGGCTTCGTTTAATTAGGACATGTTTCGACTTGTTTGGAGAATACGGAGTTCACACACCTACAACTCATTGCAACTTATAAACTTATCCAAGATTAGATACCTAGTTTACACAAATCTATACTCGAAATTCCACAAAATATATCAAACTTTAAAACTTCGTCGTCGATATTTTAAATACAATCTACAAAAAAAAGGAAAATCATATATATCAAAAATTCGAACATAAGGTAAAAAGAAAAAAAACTAAGAAAAAACTATACGTTATAGTTGAAATTCCTTAAAAACGATCATATCTTTCGTACAAACTTAAAAGTCTGAAACAGAGAATGTACTTAAGCTTCAGCCTTAACACTTAATTTTAAGTAAACTCTTCCAACTCCATTTTTTCGTGGTGTTGCCAAGTGATAGAACAACTTTTGTACTTTGCCACTTGTTAATTTATATTGTTTGTAAAAGGAATGGAACTGAAAATGTTTCGTTAAAATAAAATTGCATAAAATTTCTAAAATATAATATATTTTATACTCGAGTTTATCTATACCTAGACGTTCCTTCGTGCGAACTAAGGATTTATAACTACTCTATATTTTTGTAAGTGTAATGTGGCTAATAAAACAAACATTTAAAATAAACTTTTTATTTCAAAAATTAAATTATTAGTAATAAAAACATTAAGTTAAGTACAGGCATGATTCATTATGACATTATCTTATTCTAAATAATATATAATGTATACAATTAAATCAATTTAATATTTAAAATATCACAACTATTACAAAATCATGCTCTCTCTTAGTTGAATATGGACTTGTGCAGACATGACTGCTTATGATAAGTATCAGGTGGCATGTATGTAAATTGTCCAGTCATCCTAAACAATAAGCAAGGTTTTTGTTGCTAACATTGATGGAGGAGCTTGCTGCCCACCTGATAAGTGGTTACATCTACAACGTAAATGCAGCCACCTACCTTGAGACATGGGTTCCAAGTCTTGTTTTTACAGCAAAACGTTTGCTCCACTTTTCAAACCGAAATGCAATACTATCGCGGCAGAAATAGGTGGCAAGTTTTATTGAAATACAATATGCAGATTGTGATTGCGGTAAACGCTTGAGCGCGGTGGTCTTGACCTCATCAGCAAAAATGCAAGGTTTGTAACTGACGTTAGTCAAGAAGACATATTATGTCCACCTATTATTATATGTTTGCCTATATATAGATATCACAGATATTAATCGTGTGCATTTTAAATGTTTTGATTCAAATACATATGAATAAAATGAGACGTCATTACGAGACGCTACAATTTTTCTTTTCCAGGAATACGGGAAGTCCTTTAGTCAGATCTCTGTAATCTAGAAATCTATATATGAACGTGGTACAATATAGCTAGTCTAAGTACACGGGAGTCATTGTTGTTAGTTCCTTTAGCAAAATAATACTAGTACGTTATCAAATGGATAACTAAATTATTAATTGATCAAACAATAAATGTGTTCAAAGAGTTCATGGCCGTGGACACTGTGGGTTCGTACACCTCCGTATGCACGTAGCACTTCCATTCTTAGCTGAAGCTGGACCCCGGCACCCCTCCGGCCGGCGTGTAAGTTCAATACGTTTAGTAANTGTTAGTTCCTTTAGCAAAATAATACTAGTACGTTATCAAATGGATAACTAAATTATTAATTGATCAAACAATAAATGTGTTCAAAGAGTTCATGGCCGTGGACACTGTGGGTTCGTACACCTCCGTATGCACGTAGCACTTCCATTCTTAGCTGAAGCTGGACCCCGGCACCCCTCCGGCCGGCGTGTAAGTTCAATACGTTTAGTAATGAGATTATAAACAGTATATTTCGTCAATATTGGTCCAGTCGCTTGTGGGTGGTCACTCGTACAGACCGGGGTGTAAGTACAGCTTGTTGTTGAAGCCCCAGCGGTCCACGGAGGAGGTCTGCCGCCCGAACCGCAGGCGCAGGCGCTTGTCCACCAGCGTGAACAGCTCGTCCACGTGGCAGTCGTGGGCGCGCTCGGCGAACACTTCGCACAGGACCTGGATGTACCAGGAGCCGGCCTTCACGTCGCGGTGGGAGATGAACCCTGTCGGTCAGTTGCGGAGTGTTACATATAAATGATATTTGCGTATGGAACTAACAGCACAACCATAACTAGAAGTAGCGAACCTGGGAGGGTGGAGTTAGCGATGAGTATGTTGGAGTAGAGCGGTTTCTCGGCGTGGTGCAGCGGCAGGGGCGCGGGGTGGTGCGGCGCGCGGGGGGCCCGCACCGCCCCGTCCCGCGCCACCTGCGGCGCCGGCGCCAGCGCTCCGCCGCCCTGCACGAAGTCCTCGTTCTCGCCCCTGGGGAACGCTTGTGACATTACTGCGCCTGCCCGACTCCGGAACTAGTTGCATGGTGGCACTGGCCTAAGAACTTCTAACTCTCTTATTGATCCCCCTTTTGTCTCTTTTTGCCTATACATCGATAGATTAGGATACAATGAGTCGGCAAGTAATAGTCTATGATTCCGCGACAGTTTGACGCGCAATCGACCGCGCCGGGGGACGAGGCCCGCGAATGTAAAAAGAAAGTGACCTGCAAGCTTGGAAGATGAAGACCTTCGGGAGGTCCGTGAAGTTGGGCAGCTTCCTGTTGTTGAAGTAGTCCACGATGGCGTAGAGCGAGATGAACTTGCCGTCACTGCAGCGGATGTCCGTGTCGGAGGAGTAGCGGCGCTCGTGGCCGTGCGACGACACCACCAGGAACACGCACTCGTAGCCCGCCAGCACCGACGACATCTGCTCCAGGGTCGCGCGGGTTTGCTGCAAAGTACAACGTCATCGCCATACAGACCAGGCGGGTCAAGCGCTATGCTAACATGGCTCGCACAGGCTCGTCGCCGCCGCTCACCTCCAAAGTCAAGTTCTGGTAAGTGAGCACCTCGAAGCCGATCTCTGAGAATAAGTACTTCAACTTGTCGCAGTCCACGTTGACCCCGTCCCTGTTGGGCTCGATGTTCAGCAGGAACGAAATGTAGCTGAACACGACTAAAACTCCTCGCTTCCGGCTCCGCGTGCGGTACAACTGGATATCTGGAACGAGCACTTCCATTATTTCTGCCTAGTTCTGCAATAGTTTCAAGTACAATGTCAGTAAGACTTGAAAAAATAACTTTTGCCGAAATGAGTGAACAGGCTAACGGCCCATCTGGAGTTAAGTGGATACAGGAGCCCAAAGACACAAACGTAAACGCTACCTTAAAACATGAAAGCGAAGTCTACATTGTATTGTACAGCAGCTGTCCCGCTCTCTAGGCTGGAACTCATGACAGTTTCGCGGCAGAATAAGGAGTGACCCTCCCGGCGGGCTCACGGCGCGCCCGGGCGCCGGGATGTGACGGTCGGCTATCGTACTCCGCTGGTTTAATACTCAAGAGAATTGCTCATTCTGCAGTTCTCTCGATCAACATTCAGATTCACAGCCAGATTTCAACGTAATGTCGCTCAAGCCGTATAGCCGATGGCACAGGAAGACAAATGATTAAACGAATGGCGACTGTTGAAAGTTTTAAATGCACCAATAGTGAGTGTAACACGAGTATACCCCTGCTCACATCGTCCTCGAAGAAGTGAGTGCTCTTCTTCACGTGAAAGCACGGGATGGCGACCGGCTCACTGCTGTTCACGGGCGGCGGCGGCACGGGCGCGTCCGAGCCGGGCCTCGCTGTTTTATGAACATAAAAGTTATCATTGTAGAGAGAGAGAGAGAGAGAGAGAGAAAATATATTGCACACTGAAACACAATTAACATTAAAAACATTCTTATTATTAAAAAAAAAAAAAATTATATATATATATACATATATGTAATGGTATAAAATGTACATATAATGATAGTTATGTGTTAGATTTTTTAAGTTACTAACATAGATTATAAGTAATTTTTACCAACAAAATGTTACGGTTTAAAAAAAAAAACTGAAATAAAGTATTATAATAATATAATAATAATAATAATTAGGATCGGACTTATTACCTATTAGACCGTGAAATCTTTAAATGAAGGAGAATAAAACCAAAATTACTCACGTTTTATTATGTCATTATTGTTATTTTTTGGTTTGTGTTTTTCAATAGTGAGACTAACGAAGTTATCTTGAGGTCCTGAAAGATCTGGGGAGAAAAATCAAAATAAAATGGTACCACCCACTACTCGAGTAGAGTTTATTGGTTTATCTGCAATATATACTTTTAGAAATTTATTTGCTGATTCCTTATTTGCAGTGCCATAAGATATAGATTGGTTTTCAAGATGAAGTTTGCAAAAAGTATGTAATGTTAATAAGCAGCTTTGCATTAAGAATCTAAATGAATCTGTATGATGATGAGTACACAAATAGGCTGTTAATTCTCTGCTATTAAATTTGTAGAATATGATTCCAATACATGTTGAAAAATGGTTATATTTTACTAACTCTGGATCAACATACGTTATATGCAGAGCTACTTGAGTGCTAACTTTTTTTATTTTTATTGCTTAGCTAGTTAGACAAGCTCACCTATGGTTGGCGACTAGTTAGCAACATTGCCGATAGTTGCGTTAAAGCCTTTGTTCAGTTGTTAGCATAAGCATATAAAAACTCACTAGGTGGTAAAACAGGTCGTCTGGCTCGCAGTTGTAGTGGGCTGTTTGGATCAAGGTCACGCACCAAATCCCAGTGTCCCATCTCACGTAAAGCCTCTAGAAGCATTGTGAACGCCTGAGGACCTCGTCGTGTTATCTCTCTATAGAGTATTCGTTTCCGTTCACGAGGTGTGATACTAGTATCCTTGAAAATAAAAAAAACAGTAAGATAATACCAGACCAGTCTTGGGTTACCAAAGTTGCTTCCTTAATCAATTATCTACTGAAAGTAGTTTTGCAGACGCTGTGAACTGTTCCAAAGAGATGTTCATTTAACATAGGGTATAGTACTATGTACATGTACATATATGTACTGAAAAAACTTAAATACTATATTTAATGTAATACTATATTTATTGTATGTTTGAAGTCGTCGTGGCCTAATGGATAAGACGTCCGGTGCATTCATGTTGAGCGATGCACCGGTGTTCGAATCTCAGGCGGATACCAATTTTTCTAATGAAATATGTACTCAACAAACGTTCACGATTGATTTCCACGGTGAAGGCATAACATCGTGTAATAAAAATGAAACCCGCAAAATTATAATTTGCGTAATTACTGGTGGTAGAACCTGTTGTGAGTCCGCATGGGTGGGTACCACCACCCTGCCTGTTATTGCCGTGCAGCAGTAATGCGTTTCGGTTTGAAGGGTGGGGCAGCCATTGTAACTATACTTGAGACCTTAGAACTTAAATATCAAGGTGGGTGGCGCATTTACGTTGTGGATGTCTATGGGCTCCAGTAACCACTTAACACCAGGTGGGCTGCGAGCTCGTCCACCCATCTAAGCAATAAAAAAAATGTATATTATATATATAAAATTTGACGTGTATATTTATGTTCCCTATAGATTCCAATGATAGAACTATTTTGAGAAAATTTACAGAATATCTTCAAATTGGCTTAGTTAGTAGGTGGTCCTTTAAATTTTGGTACTGATCTGATGAAACTCGATCCAAAGATTGGACAGCAAGGGAGCTAGGCTTGACTAGTCCTAATTAAAATACTTAACATATTTTGAAAGATGTATTCTATTGAAAGATCTTCTCTATCTATCTATTGCAAGATTCTAGATTTTACCTCTAAGATTTATTGAAAGATATATATAATATAAGCAAAATTTAATTAACCATTCTCATTTCTAAAAATTGTACCTACAAATATTTGACAAAAAGAGTAATTAGAATGTGCAGCAGAAAGTTTTTCATTTATAAATTATTAATTTTTAAAATATAATCTACTAGCGACCCGCCCTCGCTTCGCTTCGGAAACATTAAAACACACATGAAACCAAAAAAATAAAATAATAAAAAATTTAAATAAAGTAGCCTATGTTCATCAGGGACAATGTCGGCTTCTAATGGAAAAAGAATTTTTCAAATCGGTCCAGTAGTTTCGGAGCCTATTCGAAACAAACAAACAAACAAATCTTTCCTCTTTATAATATTAGTATAGAGTATAGACATGTATTGGTCTTATTGGTCTAGACTATGAAAACATTTATAAATATAATTTGCATTCCCATGTCCTTGTATGCACATATCAATCAGTTCCGAGGCTTCACATTCCTAGACTAGATTGTGTACTCAGCACAGGAAAGAACAGAAACATTGCTAACTAGCTAACCTAACACTTCACTTTTATAAAAATATTATAATTTTACATAAACTCACTCTGTATGGTTCTATCATTTGCTGGGAAAACACTCCCTTCTCATAGAGAGCCATCACCATAGAATCTAAGTCTGTGCCCTCCACCAGAGATGAGAAATTTCTCTGGATTGCTTTTTTGTGCTCCTCTTGCATATTGCATTAAATTTTCTTGGATTTAATTTTATGTTTGAGTTACAGATGTAAATGGGGAAGGAAGACAGCCACATTTAAATTATTAACAATTAATTGCAATTTAATTTACTACATTCCAAATAGGCTTAAATTTTTATCATATTCTTTCAAGGATATGTGTGTCTGGCATAGCTCCTAGTTATGAGGACTGGAATGTTCCCGTTCTTAGGACAATATTTTGATTAGGTCACAACTGCAGGAACCTTTTTGTAATAATATCAGGATGACACAATTCACAAACACAATTCTGCATGTCCGAACACCTCAAATAAATTATTAAGTGTATAATCTATGGTAGGTGGTATGGTGGTACCGTACAATGGGGTAAATAGGGACAAAATCGACCTTCAGATTGAATTTTAAAATAGTTCCAATTAAATAGTCACTGCTCAACCAAAGAAATAAGTTGAGTCTTGAACGTACCTAGGTGATGAAAACCGTTACATTATTTTAATTATTCATTTTAAAGAAATAATCGGTAAAATAATGGCCGTTCCAATTTACCCAGCGTCCGGGGTAAATTGACACGGTTAAGGGTTAAATTGGGATATTTGTAAAGGTTGTCAACTCGCAGTACTGCGATATATAAGTAGGTGCCATATAATTATTTATATGGACCGAAATGATGAATACAATCCATAATTTAAGCACAATACACAACATAGTGTAAATTAAGCTGGTTTCTATTCCGAAGCGATGTGACGTGAATGATAATCAACAATACAATGATCAAAAAAAGTATGTGCATGTTATATTTTAGAAAATTATTATTTAATTTCCTTAAAAATCACAACTCTGAAACAAAATCATAAAATAGAATAAAAAATAGAAAACAAAAGGACTGGAAATGCAATAATACAATTTTATTTAATCAACATTTTCAAAATAATCTTTGAGCAAGAGTAAGATATCAGGTGAATAAGATAAAAAAACAGCTTTATCTGATTACTGCCAATAATAACAAAAATAAAAGAAATTCTTTCTAAGCTAAATAACTAAACTCAATTAATTCACTCACTCATAATTGGATATCTCGGATTTTTAATTAATGTTACATTTAAAATCTGAGGCCTGTTTTTATTTGTGTGTGCGTTTTGAATGTTAACAAAATCATGATTCGACGCGTGAATAGATTCTGAAATAACAAAAGTTTTGATTCGTTTGAGTTCTTTTAACTTTTAATTTTTTTTATTGCTATAAAGAACATACGACCGGGCAGATATTACAAGGTAAATGTCGCGAAAAAAAAGTAATTATATATATACTTTTCTTTTACCTATAATACTTACATAAACTAACTGATAAACACATTAACCTTCTTTACATCACGCAATTAAGTGATAGTATAGGCTAAAAAATCTATTATAAGATATCAGTGACAACCCTAACAAGCCATCCCTATTTTGTCTTTTGGCGTTCCAATTTTGTGTTTTCTCGTCCCTAATTTTTCCAGTCTCGTTCCCAATTACCCTACATACGTCCCAATTTTCCCCAAAAAGAAAGGAAAAAATATACATTTTTTATTTTGTCGAAATATTGTATTTAAAATAAGAATATTGCAACTTACCGTTTGTTGTGGTATTTCCAGGTGTATTAAAAACTTATATAAACTGTGATCTTATTGAAAAAACAACGATAATATTACTTTTTTTTAAAGTTCTTTAAGCTGTTTTAAAACGCACTTTTCAACCACTATTTTAAATTTAATTTGACGAATTTTTGCGACCAACTTAACTCATGTTTAGTACTTCCATAGTTAACTTGGTTTTTCTTCTATACATTAATAAATATTACCTTAAAGAAAATTAGGTAGATTCCGTGCTACAAGTACTTTGAGAATCTTCCGCAGGTTTGTCCCAATTTACCCCAGAATCCCAATTTACCCCATGTCATGGTACTTTAACTGGACTTTTTGGCGGGAACGCGAGGAGTGAAGTTGTGTGATTTGTTTTATTTTGTCTATTTAGTGTTTCTTCGGGTTTAAATGTGTAATAACGGTGGTTTATTAACTGTTTAATATCTGTGAAAGTGCACAAATGTGGGAAAATGAAACAAAGCCGCTGGACGTAACTTGTCGGGATCCTCCAAAAAGTCCACTGAAAATTTTTTAATAAATGACCACCATTTTACTTAGATTATATTTCATCTCATATCATTTCAATTCATTTCATTCAATTTCATCCCAGTTGATTAATATCTCAAATTAGTCATCTTCATTTCATTTCATTTCACTCTATATTATCATTTTTCATAAAAATAAGAATATAAATTAAAATAAGAAAATGACTTAAAAGTCTCAGTAACCAGGTCACAAAATCATTTAAAAAAAAAATACTTTAACTGACTTTTGGCGGAAACGCGAGGAGTGAAGTTGTGTGATTTGTTTTATTTGTCTATTTAGTGTTTCTTCAGGATTAAATGTGTAATAACGGTGGTTTACTAACTGCTTAATATCTGTGAAAGTGCACAAATGTGGGAAAATGAAACAAAGCCGCTGCACGTAGCTTCTTGGGATTCTCCAAAAGTCCACTGAAAAAATCTCAGTAAATGACCACCATTTTACTGAGATTATATTTCATCCCATATCATCCCATTTCATTTAATTTCATCCCAGTTGATTAATATCTCAAACTAATCATCTTCATTTCATTTCGTTTCACTCTATATTATAATTTTTCATAAAAATATAAATTAAAACAAGACGTGACTTAAAGGTGCTAGTTACCAGGTCATAAAATCCCAAAAAAAAACTTATTCTCTGCTGTTACAGCTTGCGGTTTTTTGACATTTCGCAAAGAAATTGGGTGTCCGAAAATTATTACGACGATTGTATGCTGTTCTCCGCTAAAATACTAGTTTGTTGTTCAATTGCTTAAGTGTAAATTTTTGTTCAGGATGAAGATCACACTTTTATCAGTTGTAATATTTTGTGCAGTTTTCGTTTTATCTTCGGAATATGAATTATCGGACATTGTATCCGCCCGAATTGAGGTTTATATTTTTTATATATTATTTTCAAATTTATTGAAACTAACTAGAAATTTAAGCACCTACATATGATTCTATGTTTTCAGAGTTGTCGAGGGTGCTCATTGAATCGTCTTCCAGAAGTAAAACGATTTGTGATGGATGACGCTCCTAACTACGATCGTGTCGAAGTGAAATTCATTTCTGGCGCTCCACCAGAGCTAATCCTCCTTGGAGAGGGAGACCATGAGCTCGAGAGACTACCTTTATCTCATCTCAATCAGGAACAGTGCAATGAACTTATACAGAGCAAAGGATTCTCAAATAATAAAAAATCTGACTTATAAACTACTTAGTGTATACGGTACTGTACATTCCGCTCATAGAAATAGGTACTTATGTTTTATACAAATGTCACAAATATTAAACAACAATTATACTTCGGTGATGACTTGAATAAAATTATAAATATTATTTTGATATATTTATTTTTCTCTATCCTTATGGCTTCCTCTTCATTGTTTATATTTACTTTCAATTTGGTTTGTATTTTATTCTTCACATTATTAAAGTGCAAGTAATCAGTAATGAATACTGAGAATTGAGCTACTGTTAGTCGTCTCCAGGTTTTCTGTGTTACTTTTGTTATTTTATAAAATAAACCTCTCAATTATGCCTACTATACTGTCCTATGTCAAGATCCAGTACTCCCAAGACTAGATAATGAAAAGTTTGTGGCCTGTTATAAAAAAGTAAAAAAAGAAAACTAGGATGACTACATGCAATGGAGAATAAACTGCCCTTTTATGAAAAGTTAGTCATAGATCAAATATGTTTAATAATTAGTCAGATAATATTATGGTGTGTACTACGTTTTGTCAAATTATATAAAAAAAAGGGTGCGTGTACATATGTACGCGCGTAAGAAGTTATACTTTATTTTTATTAAATTTATTTCTTTTTTTTATATTTAATTTTTAATCAATTTGAAAAAAAATCGATTAAACAACATCCTCAAACACGCATATTGGACATCCCTTTTCTTGACGTCGTATAATTTCGGTAATTCTCGGTACGGTTCGGAAAGTTCACCTGCGGCTATATTCAGACTCGCCAAGTTACGTCGGTCGTATTGTAATGAGCGATTTAGTGGGCAACTTCATTCTGTTAATTTTGTGTCACGGTACGCACGCATCGTAAAATTTCACTCTCATCAATTTTTCATAACGCGCCTAAAGACGTATAACTTCAATAAGAATTAATTTAAGCACTAAAATTTAGCTAAGGACCCTTTATCTTTTTTGGTTTGTTTTGTGTGTATTTTGTTTTCCATCATGTCTGTACCCAATACTCGAGGTGTATTTTACAATAAATAACACATTCTTATTGTATAAATAATTAAATTCGTCTATTATTATAGGCTTAAGTAAATGTTAATTAATTTATACCAAGAGGACAAATCCACTATTTTGTAACAGGTAGGTCATTAGCTTGTTCATTAAAAAAATAAAATGAAAAGGTATTGATTTTTTTAATACGAAACCTATTTAATTAGACAATTATTTTATTACATTAGTTCATTAAAATATGATGCCTGCGCTCAGGTGATGAGCGTACAGTCCAGGTCCTCATCTCGTCCGTCTGGTTGAGGTCGACGCAATACTCTCGCTACTACATCAGACAGAGCTTCACGGGCGCCTTCCTCCAGGAACGACACGCATCGCTGTAACCATGCACATTTGTAGTTTACATTCTGGATATACCTAACACCGTACTTTCGAAACTATCAGAAGTGATCAGCATCATGTGGCTGAAGTAGATGCAGAGCCTCCGTTTATAAATTATATAATAATATAGAAACTGGCGAAATACAGGTTTTCTCTATGAGTACACGGGTAAGCCAACTTTCATGTGGTCGATAAGTATACTGTTTGCAAAATAGCTTTTACCTCTTTAGATTAGAAACATTAAATTAGAAAAATGAAAAAACGTTGATACCCAACTTTATGTCCCTAGTACCGAGAATTATCGTCACACCTAAATAATTCTATGAATTCCTGTTATAGTAATTGTCGAACATGATTATCTAATCGATTAGATTAATCGATTAGCCCATCACATTTACTTTACATTACATACATCTTATGATAATTGGATATAATCTTTATAAAACGTTATCACTCAGGTTTTTTGTAACTGGAGAGAGTGATAGCAATTTTCTTTTTTTTAACAGTTCACTTATGATTGTCTTTTGTTTCATTCACAGATATACATTTTATGAATCCCGTCCTGCTACTGGCATCTAGATTATAATTATAGGTTAAATAAAATTACGAAAATCCTGTTTTGTTTTAATTTACACATTTACTCATGTGTAATATTAATTTCCTTCCTCCCAAGATGTTAGCATAAGCAAAATTACCTACTTAAGGTAAGATGTAGAACTCATGTGCTTCTTGATACAGTTAACATGTAGCAAGCGGAGCACGTGCACCTCTAGCCAATGAAACTGATGGATAATTTGTACCTGGAAATAGTCAGGTTCAGAATGAAGCCGCAGCAGGGTTCGAAGCGAGGACTCCGCGTTGGCGCGCACGTACGAGTTCTTCTCCTTGGTGCCGTTGACGAGGGCGGGCAGCACGGCACGCAGGAGCTCCGGGTTGTCGGCCTCGCGACCCAGGGCGCCGCTGGCCCGCGCCATCATCTGCTTCACCTCGTTGCTTTGATGGTTCATGCTCTGTGAAGAAAGTTACATTGTGCTGTTGTTAACAGTGGAGGACCTTATAAACAATGCCACGTTGGTTTCAAATTTACATTCTATCTAGTTTAGTGATGGTAATAGAAGCTGGATACAAAACGATTAAAATCAATCATACGAATTCTGTACTTACTCTGACAAATTGCGAAAGTATGTTCTGTGGGAGCGGCCTGTCGTTCTGGAGGAGATACTTCATGAGGAAGCCGATGCCGCGGATACCGTTACAGACGATCGGGATCTTGTCGCTGGCCAGGTACGCCAACAGGGTTTTGTCTATCTTTTCTTCGTAATGATCGCGGTATATAGAGGCCGGGGTCTCCTTGAGTGCCACGAAGAGAGCACAGGAGCGGCCGTGTTGGAGCAGCCAGTCGTCGGATTGTGCCAAGACGTGGTGTTGCAGGGCAGCGTCGTGGTGTGCGGACGGCAACCAGTGCAGCAGGGCGCCCAGACAGCCCCCCACCGCTCCCCGGGGCGGGTCCTCCGGGTGCGCCAGGAGCGCGGGGCTCGTCAGCGTCGACAGAATACTGAGCGCCAGTTGCTCCGATAGCTTGTCTCCGCCGCCGGAGATGATGCTGCGCAACGCTTGCAGCATGGTCTCCCTTATGGCGGGGTCGTCTGTATTCTTAATGCCGTTGTGCATCTCCACAAAGAGCGGATCCGCTCTGGTGTGGATGACGACCAGTTGTGACAGAGCCAGGCCCGCCTTGATCCGCACGGGCCGGTTGGGATCGTTGAGGGCCTTCAGGAACGTCGTCTGCAGTTGCGGTAAGAACTGCTTCAGCATTACCCCGACCTACAAAGTAATTATTCTATTAGATCACTCGGTGCATTGATAAACATGAACTTATAATGAATTCCATTTCTCAGTCTTAAAATCTTTACTTAGTGAAGTTCTTGAGAAAATACCTTTTAATTGAGGGTTTGTATACAATGGTATCAATGGAATTTGGAATATTTTTCTTTTTAAATTGAAGGTAGGTTAAAAAGTTATTCCGCCTAATTGTCGATATATTACCTTCGAGAGTAAAGAGGCTAAGGTCTCCAAAACGGCAGCTTTGACGCTAGAGTTGAACCTGTCTCCGAGGATACGGATGAGAGGTCCGGTGATGTGTACGACGGAGGGCTGTATGGCGGCCGGAGACGTCAGCTTGATGACCTCGCCCAGCATCAGCGCCGCATTTTCCTTGTCTTCAGGTAAGCCGTTTAGGATAGACTCCCGGAACAGAGGCAGGATCGGCGCTATACCCTGCAAGGACAGTTGCGACTAGTTACTTGGCGAGGGAGGGCAGGTAATTTTTCACACATCGGTTGGTCTAATGTTCTCACTACGAATAAAGATATATTTACAAAATTGAATAGAACATGTGAACAGTAATCACAGGATCTGAACTTTGTTAAGATTTATAATCTTTTTATCAATGGGGTGTACACACATAACAATTAGAACCTGTTTCCAGAGTTATTGTACTTAGGTCGTAGAACAATTTGTTTTTTTTAGTATATTTGCTTTTGACAGTCTTAGGGATAGTGACTCATAGTACCGTCAACGAAGTGTAGATGGCGCGCAATTGGCGATAGCAGCGCCACAGCCTCCCAGAGATGTCCCACATTACCTTGGGCAGACAGAATCCGGGCAAGAGATCCCCCTTGAGGTCGGCGGCCGCATAGCGCACGGCCTGGCGCACGTCGGACACGTGCTGGATCTGCCGCTCGGCGTCCAGCGTCTTGGTCAGCGCGGAGAGCGCCTCCCACGCCATGAGCAGCACGTCTCGGTCGTCGTCGGCCAGCAGCAGCACCAGGCCCCGCAGCAGCTGCGGCACGTGCGGCTCCAGGTCGCCGCGGGTGTGCGCGACGAAGGCGCACAGCAGCACGGCGGCGGCGCGGCGCCGGGAGCCCTCGCTGGAGCGGACCGTGTCCAGCAGCGTGTCGATAATGCTGCAACAGTATCGAGCGCTCTAACGTACGGCCGGCCGGGCGCGCCGCACTCCACAGGATGGACGACTCCCGTGACGAAGGAATAATGTCGTGTCATAAAGATTAAATCCAGAATTCAGAAAATTTGGGATGATGGACTGATCGTAGGGCGTAATGTACGGGCAAGCACCATCGTCGCGTCCCTTTCTATCGTGAAGCATTTGGAGTCATGCAGTACCTCGGCCTCCTGTCTGGAGGCTTCGCAGCTGTGTATCGGCTAAGTTATTAACGGACGTCAGTCCACATTCGACCAAGTACCACCATTCATTGTACATCACAAGTGTACTTAAAATTATACTGAAAGTAATTTAAAACTAAAAGTAGGGCAGGTCGCTCGCTACCATCGTAGTCCCGGCGGGTCGGTGACGGGCAGCAGCGCGTCGCGGCAGTGGTCCAGCTCGGCGGCCTCGTGCGGCGTGGCGCGCGCGGCCTCCAGCGCGTGCAGCAGCGCGGGCAGCACGCGCGGCACGTGGCGCGCCAGGGCCCCGCCGGCCGCCGCCGCCAGCGCCGACAGCGCGCGCGTGTCCACGCCGCCGCCGCCGCCGCCCGTCAGCACCGGGATCAGGTAGGGCAGCACCGCGCGCGACTTTATCGACATTATCTAAACAACGACACAAACTAACAATTTATTTCTTTCTCATGAAAAGTTTACAGTTGAAACATCTAGAATTTTTCTTTTTTTAAATAGAATAATTAAAAAAAAAAAAGCAATCTTCAAAAGGTACGGTTCGGTTATTTGTTACACGTA